CCCCCCCCCCCCCCCCCCCCCCAATTCTTTGTCACATTCAATAAAACTAAAACAACATTGTAGTTGCATTGAACAGCTTTTTTGTTTTTTATAATAAACTTGAGCTTCTTTTTCACCTGTTTTTATTTCACCATCCGGCAACAAACATCATTGCCATCACGTTTTTTCTGCGGCCGTCGATAGTTTACAGCCGTTCACATTTAAAGTAGGTTTATTGAAAGTAAAATGTGGTTCGCCAAACTAACATTTTTATTATTTGTTGAACTTGTTATGGTATAATTGTTTTTGGAACTTTGCATAACTTAGGATTTATTGATAACACAGGTGATACAGAATCGTACCTCAGTGAAGAGGAGTGATTTATTGTTGCTGTATTTAAAGTAACCCAAATGTTTCTCTTTTTGTTCCTCAGCTGTGGACATCAGAAAACCAGGGTGACGAGGGCGAAACCGGCGACGGAGAGAACTAGCGCACCTCACTGTTGACCTACGACCCCTCTCTCTTCCTCCTCCTCCGGTCTCTCTTCCTCTTCCTCTATCTCTCTCTCTCTCTCTCCTCTTCTTCCTTCTCTTCGTACACATTAAAACATCCCCCCCGTTCATCCCCCTTTTTCAAGCCCCCCCCCCCTTCTGTATAACCAACAGCATGAATAGTACCCGACCTCCACAGACGGTTCGTAAAAGAAATGGAGGGGGGGAGAAAGAGAAACTGCTCCATCACCCTAAACCCCCCCCACCCCCCCTCTGGTCATGGCACTCCAGGACTGACCAAACCCACGGGTCAGTCTAGTCTTCTAGCGCGCAGGGAGGGTTTTTATCCAAAATTATCCAAATTAATTCATGTTTTTTAATCTCCTCCATTCTTCCCTCTCTCCTAACCTCTGTCCTTAGTGCCTCCCCTCCTCCCTCGCTCTATTGAGTTAACGCACTTATATAGTTGTCCCCTCCCTCCTTCCCTTCCTCCCCTCCTTGCTCTAGTGAGTTAACGCTTAGTCGTCCATCCCTTCTCTTTTGGCTTTTTTTTCTTAGTGTTACTGGCAAATGGCTGGTTTTATTCCACTTTAAACGAAACAACAACAACAACAACAATAATTACATAAAGGTTATTAAACTGTCCGTTTATTTTCAACAAACACTGTGATGCTTAGTTCTTCCTCCACCTTGCTCCTCGTTTTGATGGTGAACAGCCCTGTACTCAGAGGGAGGGTGTGTTTAGAGCTGAGGTTCATACAGAAGGTCCTCCCACGAGGCCGTACTGTGACACTGACGGAGCGTTTACCTGCTGTAGTCGAACACTCACCTGTTTGTGTTTTACTCTCTAACTGAGGCCCAGAGTTTTATTCAACGCCAACGGATTTGAAAACGTAACAAAATTCATACATTCCATCTAAATGTTTGAGAAGACAAGCGGGACCGTTGGATCAACATCAGCGCTGCTGTCCCGAAATGTAAACTCCTAAAACGTGCTCATTTCCCCTTTTTCTTTCTTTTTTTATTTTCTTTGTGTAACAAATCAAATTCTCTTCTTTCCGGTTTTTGAGAACTGTAAAATTGTAAAACATTTTTAGAGCTTAACTGTAAATCTGTCTTTTGGAAAAACAAAATGTTTTTTTGTCGGTCGTCGTTAGTTAACACCTGTGCTTGCAATGAAAACCTTGAAGCCGTTAGTCAGCTGCTGTCCTCAACATTTATTTTTTGGTACCCCTCCTCCAGCTCAGTTAGACCAGTTTGTCTTCCTGTGATCTGACACAGTTCAGCTAACTACCCTTCAAAATAAAAGATGAGTTGGAAACGGAATCTATTGTTTTTTTAAATCTTTACGTCAAAAATTGACGTCTTTGTAACCAAATCCAACGAAGGCTTTTCTTTAGGTTTAACCAAGTTGACTTATTTAAATTGGTTCAACTGTAAAATAAGATGTTGTTTTTTTTAAATGAGGAAGCAATGTTCTTAAGTGTCCCCGTTACTTCGAGTCCACAACGTTTTCATGCATGAAAGGAGCCGAATCTCCCCGGCAGCCGATCAACCAATCATCTGTGAGCGGAAGTGAGAACGTGTCGTTTGGATCTGAAGTTCATAAGAAGTTTGTGTCGAGGCGACTCTTTTTAGAGGATACTTTTTTTGGGGCCTCATTCAGAAAAAGCAAAACAATCCGTCAGTTAAAGGTCCAGTTTAAAACCCAAAGGGTGAGAATCAGAGGGCCGGTCCACTCAGTGTCACAATAACCTCGTCACTCACCATCTCCACATTCCACTCTTTAGGTGTAGAGAAGTCATGTGTCTCAATGTTTTGTTTTGTTTCTTTAGCTGAGGACAAATGTTTTCATGCACTGAAGTTCAAAAGGTAAAAAAAAAAAAAAAAGCCCCCCCCCGCCGCTCTTTTTCTCGTTAGCTGAACAATAAAAGTTAGTTATTCTACTCTACGCTTTATAAGGAAACAAACTGATCCCATGCAGTAGTGAATGTGGCACCGAGCCTGTCTGTATATCTGGTATCTCAAATACTTTTGTTTTTACTGACCAGTATTATGCTTAAAATAAAAAGGAAAAAAAAATAACCCCAAAAAAAGTCAACAAAAAAAAAGTTTGCTTCTGTGACGGTTTTATTGCTTAGCGCGCACGTGGTTGTGAAAATTTAGATTTAGCTTAAGAACACCAAAAAAAATGACAAAAAAAAAATAAAAAAATCCTTCAACACCTCCCCCCCTCCCCACCCCTCCCCCCCTGGTTATTGAAGTAATACTAGATTTGTGTTTGTCTTTTAAAAAAAAAAAAAAAAATCCAACTCTAGTTTCACCTTTCATGTTATAAACAGGACAAAAATGTAAAAGACAATTTAAAGTGAAATAAAGGTTTTATCAGTTCCGAATCAACGCTGTTCTGTTTATTACCACAGCTCGTCTCGTAGTGACGCATGTTTTATACTTCGGCTCAGTTTCATGATTGAAGATGCAAAGCAGGTCGAAAGTCTTACACACGGAAACCAGACGGGAGTAAAGAATATACTGCTGAGCAAAATGCATTTTAGATATTTAAGAGAAAGGTGTATATATGTATATTTGCTGTTTTCTCCCCAAAGCCGCCAGACTTCACTGACAAAAACACTCATTTACATCTCTCTGACGGGAGTTGCTGGTCGATCGCTCTGAGTTTGGTGTTTTTTGAACTAACCCTTTAAAAACCACCAAAGTTACACAAACTAAACTGATGGAGGCAGCGGTCGACCAGCAACTCCCGTCTTCTGAGAGGTAATAAAATAGTGTTTTTGTCACTGGAGTCGTGACTTTACAGACATAAAGACTTCACTTCCCTTTGTAGGTGTCTAACATAGGTCCACAGCAGAACATTACTTTGCTCCTCAGCATTACATGACACTCAGTGGATCCACGGACGTGTGTAGAGTTCAGGTTTCTCCTCAGAAATGCAAATGAATAACAGGAGGCTGATCTTCTGGTTTTTAAACTTATCTTACAGCATTTGCATACGACAGTTTTTAAATAACTGTCGTATGCAAATGCTGCAAGATGCTCGTGAGAGTGTGTGTGAGAGAGTGTGAGAGTGTGTGAGAGTGTGAGAGAGTGTGAGAGAGAGAGAGTGTGAGAGAGAGAGAGTGTGAGAGAGAGAGAGTGAGAGAGAGAGAGAGAGAGAGAGAGAGAGAGATCATCAAAGGTTAATGTGTGTGGTGTTTCCTTGGGTTACACAATGTTATCTGATCCATATCTCATTTCCATGGTGAGAAGCCGACCCTGCACAGCTCTGCTTCAGGCACAACAAAAGGTAAATGAAGATATTTTACTATTATCTTGTCGAATCATTTCATTAAGAGACTTTCAGACTCTGCCGTCTGAACGAGGCAGGAGTCAGGTTTTCAAAAACCTTTTCCTCTTTTGTTGGTGAAAGAGATCAGTTTGTTTGTGGTGGATTCTCTTTTGTTTTTACAACTTTATTTAAACTTTAAATGAACCATACTGATAAGTGAACAGATTAGCGCAACTCTTTATTTTCATGTCCAAGGTTTCCTCTCAGCACACTAAAGAAAAATAACGACCTTTTTTATCAGGCGGCAACCTCCGGTTCTGCCGAGTGAAGCCGATGCAGAAGTGTCTTAAAGCTGCATTCTCTCTAGTGTCCATCAGGGGGCGACTCCTCTGGTTGTATAGAAGTCTATGAGAAAATGACTCTACTTCTCTCTTGATTTATTACCTCAGTAAACATTGTAAACATGAGTTTATGGTCTCAATCTCTAGTTTCAAGTCTTCTTCAATACAGCATGATGTTCATTTAGTACATTATGGTCCATTTAGAGTCACACAGACCATAAAGCAGGGTAGAGGAACAAAATCCACCTATCCAAAATATTTCAACTGTGGCTCTGTTGGTCTCGAAAAGATGGAAATCAATGTAAAACCGTGTCAAAATGTGCACACCGAGTTGGTAAATTAAGCTTTTTTTTTTTCTGGCAGGCGATGCTGACGACCCAGAGCCAGAACTGCTACCGGGAGCAGATCCAGAAGGAGACGTTGACACGTTTGGCCTGGAAGAGCCGCTATGCCGACCTCTACCCGTCCTGCTGCAACCCCCCAAAAAATGACGACGGCACAGAGCCAACACAGCCGCCCCGTCTGCCTGCTGACGACCGGTGAGCTGCTTCATTAAACCGTCACGAGTTTTCATGTAAAACTGCAGCTCTGTGATCAATCGAACAGCATTTCCAAGCTCCGTTTAAAACTGTGTTAAATCATTCAAATGTATCGCGCGGACTGATGATCTCGTGTTTATGCTCCGCCCACCAGAGCAGTCCTGCCTCCCGTCAGCAGGACAACCGAGAAGCGGAGCGCCCTTCCTCCTGCTCTTCCTCCTCCTCCTGTGGTCTCTTTGGAAGGAGACGGCCCTCTCAATGTGGCCTCTCTGATGAGGCCAGTTTCTCCTCAGACCAGACTCGCTCTCTACCAGGACTCCTCGCACCACGTACGAATCCCTGTGACACTAAACCGGACATTATGTTTGGTTTAAAATGTCCATATCTGTTGTTTTCATGAGAATAACAGGTTCCCAGCTGTCTTAACTTTTTAGGTTTTAATTGCTTGCTCCATGTAATTGAAACTTTTTAAGTCCTAAATCCATAACAAGTCTGGGTTTTGGCTGTAAATGTTCCCTGTGCCGTCGTCCCTCTCTAGAAGCTGTGTCCAGGTATGCTGCATTGCTAAACGAGGTGCAGCTGGATACTCGTCTCTGCACATGAAGCTACTTACAAACAGCAGAGCTCACTTCACAGCCAACCACTGAACCCAAATCAACCACAGAAGACACTCTTTAAAACAAATCCATAGGATTTATTGTCATAAAAACACACGAGGCAAAACAAAATCATAAGCTGAGGGGCCTGCAAGTTCAGCAGTTCAACACACCAGAGGCAGAGCTTCTAGAGGGGGAAGAAAGGGAACGCATTCGGCCATAACATATGCATGAACCAAAGTGTCTTCAATTGTTAGTTTGTGCAAAAATAGGATTTAAATTGTATCCAAAGTGTAAATAAAGCTAATAATGGAACTGCTTCTATGAAGACATTTAGCTGACGGTTACACACAGTCAGATATTTCATAATTCGGTTGGTAGGAATTCAAGTATTTCTGCCCTTAAGTTGAAACGTAACGCGTTTAACAGTCATTTTTAAACTAAGCGTTCTCTTGCAGGGTAAAGGACGGAAGCTCTACCTGCAGAAACGTGGCCACGTGAGACCGGAGGAGAAGTTTGACTTTCCTCTGCTCTCGTCCTGGGAGTACGGCTGGAGGCTGGGTGAGTTAGAGCCGCCGTCTGCTTCACTCCCGTCTGCTTCACTCCCGTCTGCTTCACTCCCGTCTGCTTCACTCCCGTCTGCTTCACTCCCGTCTGCTTCACTCCCGTCTGCTGGACCCCAAACCTGCAGCAATGGAGAATGGGTTGAAGGCTAACTTCGGTGTTTTTAAACCTGGACCCTATTTTAGTTTAAGTGACCAATGGGGTCAACAATGGTTGAACTAGGTCCAGTATTGCACATTACGTTGGATGCAACTCGTCACCATCAATATATACGTCCACTAAACTTTCCCTTTCTTTATTCTGTCATCTGACTTGTTGCTGGAAATGTGAAATTCTGGATAAAAAATGTCCAACTATGTTTGTAAATGTGTTTGTTTGTGGTAAATGTATGTTGAATCAGCTCTCGATTTAACTGCAGATTAAAAACGTATCTGTATTTCTGTTTTAAAATTTCTACACATTCTCACTTTGTTGTAAAGTTATTTTCTACCTGCATCCTCAGGTGACTACACGCTGGATTACAGGACTCCATCCCGCGCCAAGTCGTCTGTGGTGAAGAACACCTTCTACGCCAGGAACGGCGTGTTCAGCAGCCCGTCAGCCACTGACAAGCTGGGCTGAAGTTCGGCCTCCAGACACCAGGGGGCGCTCTTTAGTGAGAGTGTAGCTCAAGCAAACAGATTTTTATTTGTTTGTTTTAAGACCCTGATTTTAATCCCAATTGTGCCACCAGCTCAAGTCATTTGGGGGGTGTTATAAACTATTTCGGGATCAAGACAAATGGCAACTTTTGGAGGCACGATATAAACTCTTGGTAATCTGTAGTTATTTAACAGAAATTGTATTAAAACTCACATTCTTTTGTTTGTTTTGCCAAGTCTTCTATGTTTTTTTGTGTTTGTGTGATTTGATTTAAACACTAGTGTCAGACAACTCGAAGAGCAATGATTGGTTAGATATTACACATTTTAAAGATATTATACTGTAATATGTATGACGGGGTTGGAGGGTCTTTGTGTGAATGATGATCCTCTACTTCCTGTTTACCGTCCACATGGCTGTGAGGTTAAGTGTCCAACCCGATACTGTGTGATGGATAATTAATGAACACCTGGCCAGGTATCGGTCAGAAAGATGTTCACTTGATACCTCGGTGTTTTTAACCAGCGAGCCACTGGAGGAAGTGTTGCACACCAATATAAATATCAGTAACGACATTATTCTTCAGCCAAGCAGTGTAGTTTTGTTCCTGTTGTAAGGATGTATTACTAAATAAAGTGTAAACTTATTTAATAATGAAATAAGCTCATATTTTGGTCCCAGATGTGTTTACACGTAAGAGTGTTTTGACTTAAAGCTACAAAACGTCTTCTCATCACGCAAAACGTTCTGATTTGTCAGAAACTGCTCACAAATATATAGTTTAATTAAAAAAAATAAAAACCTCAAGAACTTAAACAGCTGATCACTGTCGTTTTTTTGTTGGGGACTATTTTCAGCAGCGGATTAATCCACATTACGTGCTCTAGTAAGTGTTCTTACTAGATCTAAAAATGTCTTTAACTTACATTATCTCTGCTGCCCAGCAGGGGGCGACTCAGTCTTCAGTACAGCATGATATTAATTTAGTAAACTGAAAAAATGTGTTTTTCAGTTGTACTGAGAGCTCCACCCTGTCGCGTCACTTCTGGTTGCAAAAGAACAAAATGGCGACGGGCTGAAATGCCGGACTCAAGACTTCAAAATGTCCGTCCACAAACCAATAAATGACGTCACGGGGACTACGTCTACTTCTTATACACGGTCTATGGATGAGTCACCTGATTTCTATTCACAAGAAAATTGTAAAAAAAAAAAAATCCCAAAACAGGGATTATAAAACACGACGTTCATATGTGGATTACAGATTGTACCTTAAAAATGCTCTAAAATCAGAATAAAGCTGGTGAATTTATTCTACGGAAAAAACAAATAAAGAAACACCACTGGCTGTCAGAAAGGTTGCTAACATGGTATGTTTTGGAAAATCAGTAATGCAAAATACACACTTTTAGTAGTTCATGCAAAAACGCTGATATAGTCCTTAAAGGCAGCACTATTGAGCCAATCTTTATTAATTCTGCTGATGTGTGCGCTGTTACAGAAAAGACATGTTTCATAAAAAGTCTGTGATGTCACCAACAATGATTGAATGGACCAGAAGGACGGGTGGATTTTATTGGATCTCTAGGTGGTCGGGAAGATCAGGAAGCCGGTGAAGGTGTGGCTGGTGCTGCCCTGGCTCGTCACAAGGTGGTTGTACCGGGTCGCCTGCAGCGAGACCGTGTCCCCGGCCTGCAGCACCAGGACCGCCGAGCCGGAGGTGACCAGGAAGCCCTCGGATGAGTCGCACAGCGTCAGGTCGCTGTTGCTGCCCTTCATCAGCTTCAGACACACCTGTGACGGTACGAATACACAGAAGAACTCAGATCTGGACAGAAAAGTTGTATGCAAAGTATAATGCAAATACAGTCAGGAGCACCAACATCCTCAAAATGAGACATTGTTATCTACTCAAAAGATGACAGTTGAGATGTATTTTGTTTGTATTACGTTACGTTTTTCAGGACGTCTTTACGCAACGTGTGCTCATACGATGGTTCGTACGATATCCTACGAAAAGTTACTCCTCATTTTGGGGCGTACCAATAGAAAGTAGAAAGTAGGAGTACATACCACAATGTGAAATCATTCAAGTCCTGCATATAAAAATCTACCGAAGTAAAAGTACATTTTCGCTTTAGCTTTCTAAATGTTACATCATTATTGTTAATATTCATGCTTTAAGGTGTGAGCAGTATTTCAATATTATAGCTGGTTGAAGTTCATGTCAACTTTAAATGACTGAATCTGTCTCTTGAGGACAAAATGAAGCAAATCAAAAAATCTGACAGACAAACTAGAAAGACACCAACAGATGACTCACTCTGCTCTTTGCTGAAACGTGGTAACTGAAGAAATAGATCCCTCCGACGATGCACGTGAACTTCCCGTTTGTAAGCAAGTGTCCTTGAAACTCTTCGTCCAGGTCCAAAATCTCACTAAGGGAAGATTTTAAAAGAATTTATACTATATCTGAATCTATCCTGATGAAAACATTCACATCTGAGTTGAAATAATTAACCCAACCAACATTCCACCAATCCTGTTCATGAGAAATAAACGTAACAGATTCTCAAAAGAAAGCTACGAGTGGTAGCCAATCAGAGGGGGAAACGAAACAATCAAACTACCGTAAACAACAAGTCACGCAACTGCCGATTGTTGCCTTTGAAAGAGGTAATTTGTCAGACACGGGAGAACCAGAACCAGGACTGAGCGAGGCAGACTGTCAGACCCTGCTACAGTAAAACTAGTGGTTTTCTAAAGGGACTCTGGTGCTCAGAGACACTACCACTTTACTCCACATGGACCGCCAAAACCAACACAAAATGTTCCTTGTGGAAACTTTAAGTTACGGGTCCGTGTCCTTCCCCTGCTGCAGAGAAAAACTTTTTAATGTTTTCCCTATTTTAGGGGCTTTAATGATGACTACAGGCTGCAAATAAAACCTGCCACATCATCTTGTTTCAACAGGAAATACATCACATCAAATACCTCCACAGCACTGACCTGTTGAAGTTGATGGCAGTGTCCAAATCCGGTGTTTGTGGTATCTCCCGTTTGTAGGAGAAGACGGATTTCTGCTGGTTGGACGGGTTGAAGGCTCTTCCCTTCTCCCCCAGATGGCCTGAAGAACCAGGAGACCCAGGGAGACCCAATTCCCCCTTCAGCCCAGGCCGTCCTGGGGGGCCCTGCAGACCTGGCAACCCCTTCTTGCCCCTGACAGGCTGACCTGCCTCACCTGCTCATACAGACACACACTTGTTACTGTGAACTGACACTAAGATGAAAGATAGGCGATTTATTTTGAGTCGAATAAGAAAAGAAGGAATAGAGAAAATAAAATATAGAAAATACAACGAAATCATGTTATCTCAACAACAACACAACAATGTTACCAACAAAGGCAGGAAAGAAGAAGACTGCTTGATGTAAACAATGCAGGTTCCAAAATGTTAGGAAAGAAATCTGCTCTGCAAATGTTTTATGCGGCGCTAAATGCATCCAACATGTTTGTTAGAGTGCAAGGATACACACAATGCATTTGGGTGAGTAAAACTAAAATGTAAAAACGACTTTGGCTTGTTTGCAAGAAAACTTTGAGCTGCAGGATGTTGAGCTCTCAGGGCTCTCACAAATATCTGTATATCCAGTCATGGCATATATGTGCCAGATATTTAAAAAAAATTAAGTTAATTTAAGCAGTAGTTCATCAGAATACAGTAAACAATTAAAAGATCCTGTAAAAAAAATTCCTGTTTAAAAACAAAAAAGCAAATTACTGATTCCTTTGTCAATTTGGCAAAAATCATCATCGAATCATCTCCCAACAGATTCAAACTCAAAAGGCCAGTTTGTAGCGTTTTTGGGGATCTATTAGCAGAAATGCATGAGTTGTGAAAATGAGTTCGCTGAACCTGAGAAAACATGTTAAATAAACTTAACATACTAAGTTTAATCAACAGCTGCTCAGTAACACTGACACATTAGTGAGATTCACATTAAAACGATGTAAAAAACATTGTGAAAAGATCATTTAAAAAGTAACTGATATGTCCTTGTGTTCGGTGTGAGCTCACCAGGGTCCCCGTTCTCTCCCTTGGCACCGTTGTTGCCGTTGGGCCCATGGGTGCCGGGTATCCCGGGGATCCCTCCCCCGTAGCAGGACTGTGTGACGGCTGGAGTGATGTGAACCAAGAGCAGAAACACTGCAGTACTGCAGCTCAGCCACCGGGGGGCCTGAGTCAACACACAGATACACACAGAATCTTGTTTTTGTCACTAAGGAGGACCATGAACTTTAAACTCAAACACACAGTCTTACACACCAACACTTGAAGAAACAGTCTGAGTTATACACATTATATGTTGCTGTTGTTCCTCGTTGTATTGTTATATATATATATATATATATATATATATATATATATATATAAATACATACATACACACACACACACACGATACAATATACAATGTTGAAATCAAGATATAAAATTAAGTTGAAGACAAATTAATGGCTAAAGAAAATACATATGTGCATTTAAATTTAAGACATTTTAAAGCTTAGACAGACAAAAACTCTAACAACAACTTCAACTTGATTATGTTTAAAGGTTAAACACAATGACCGTCCACTTCTGGTACCACCAATGCTGAATAAGAGACTCTCCTCTCTCGGTCTACATCCACACATTTCTTCCACACGTTCTTTGGTTCTGTAGAACATTAAAAGTCTCACCATTTGCAGCCTTTGGTGTTGTGGTGGAGAGATACGCTGATGGAGAGCCGAGATGAAGAGCTGTTCAGCGACGGCAGCAGCTCAGTCTGGAAAGAAAACCACACAAAAATAATCAGGAAGTGAAACAGGTCAAGAGAGCATGTTGGTGTTCACAATAATGATTTTAGGATACTGATCTACTGACTTGATACTCACTGAAACAAGTTACCTCCAGTTAGTGGTGGAATGAATGAAGGTACAGATACTCACGTACTGCTTTTTTTAGATAAACATTTCACTTTTCACTGCAATACATTTATCTGACAGCTGGAGTTTATTTTTACATACAAGGAATATGTTTTAAAACTTTCCCAAAGACTGGGTCGGGACCCGTCGGTGGGTCGCAGGGAGATTTTATAAGGGTCGCCCAAATAAATTTCTTCCGTAGTCTTTCATTTAACATTTATAGTTGCCGAACAGGTTTGAGCCGCACGAGGGAGCCTGAATGATCGTATCCTTCTGATAATTGTCGCTTACTTATGACGTTGAATGTTGAATATGACAGGGTAGCGTACAGTCTGTTTGTTTTAATGAGGAAGAAAACAAGAACCTTTTTTAACACATGTATACATTTTCAGTAACACATGCATAATACAGAGTTTTGATCTATCAAACGAATATCTTTTGTTAATCGCTGGTTTACATATTCAAGACAATGGCAGTAAAAATGGTCATGAATGTTAATTCATGCATAAATTCGCTCTTCTCACGGTTTATAGATGAGGCCTGTTGTGAGTCGGTTATAAAACACTGTTATAAAATATGCATTGACTTAAGTAAACAGTGTGATAAATTGCTTCAAATTTGCTCCACTATGACTAACTATGACATTAAAATATGATCACACATTGATTTGTCTGTAATAACAAACTAATTGTATAATATATGAGAGTATTTTATTCACAAGGGCCATTTCTCCTCTACATTATGAGTACTTTTATTCCCAAGTACATGTTGCTGATAATACTCACATACTTTTACTTAGTTACAGTTTGAAGCTTGGACCTGTGGTCAGGAGTGGACTCACTCGGGTCACGTTACTTGGACTGGAGTCACAAATTTGATGACTTTGGACGTGACAAAATCAAAACAGACATCACGTCACAGAGCGTCAGTTGGAAAAAAGTTGAAATTGAATTTAAATTGTACTTCAGCACAGTACTTGAGGTAATGTACTTAATTAGGTTCTTCGTCTTTCTGTTCTTGTTCAGATGTTTTCTTTCTTTGTGTTTTTATTTTTAGTAGGTTTCTCATGTGAGTTTCCTCTCTGTTGGCTTCATGTCCTTTCCTGTAAATTTGTGATTATTTTATTGCATTCATCTGACTAAACAAATATCTCATCAGAGGAAGTGAAACATGGTAACAAGAAGTCAGGAAAAACTCCACCTGATGAAGAACTGATGATGAAGCATCGCTGCTTCGGATTAAAAAAATCTTTCCTCCAAATTAACATTTTGTTCTGTTTTTCTCCGAACTTCCTCTTTGTTGTCGCTGTTTTCCTGGCAGTTTGTTCTCATGGACGTCAGTATCTGTTCCACAAAATATTTAATTTCATCAACAGTAAAGAGCTGATGTATATTTTTAATAATTCCATCCTGTGAAATTTGCCAGGTTGTCATTTTCTGTCTTCTCGGATCCTCTTTCCATTTCGTCCAGTTTTTTTTTTTTATTTCTGCAAGTTTGGAACGCAAAGCTTTTTTCTTGACTTTCTAGTTTTTGGGGAAATCCTGCAAATGTCTTCCTATGATGACTTGTGCTTTGGGTTTATTCGCGCTGTTTGTATGAATCAATGTTGAAATACCTAATGATTCAACTATATTCAGGGATAATCCTTCCCATTGCACTACATTTTTTTATCTATTCATGATTATTAATATTATTATATATTGATTTACGATTGTAGTGAAACTAGTTTCCTCTCTGTTGAAAGTGTGAAGGCCTCTAGTGGACGGGTAGAGAATAGAAAAGGATAGAATAACACAAGTGAAGCAGACATTGTGACACAACTGTCTTCAAACTATGAAGATGCAAAGTAGATCACAGTGTTATGATCGGACTGAAAAAAAATTACAGGACAAATTACATCACAAATACAAAATATTCTGGTGTTTTTTATTGGTTTATTTGTCTTTAATTGGTTCAAATAATCTGTTTACTGGCAGACAGAGAAGATAAAATCATTGGATCATATATATTTTTAAGGGTTATAAATTAAGTTAATCATTTTATAACACAAAAGCAGACATTAATGTAAGCTCTGTATTATGCCTATTAATAACCTGATCTTTTAAGGATCACATAAGAGTTTCTATTCACTTTTGAAAATTACTCAAAAAATATTTCTTGAGGCTTAACTGGCAACATAAAACAGCAGCAATGTTGCTATTCTTGTACCAACATGTCAGAAGTATAGAGTTATTAATCACTGTGATAATTATGGCTTTGTTGGAGCAATGATTTTATTCTGCCTCGTTGAAAAGAGATTTCAATCGCAATGAAGCTTTACCTGGATAGAGAAGGGACAATAAAATGTGAAATATGTATGTATTTATAAAAAATAAAGATGACATACTGTGAAGGAAGGGAAGACTTTATTTTGCTTTTAGTTTCAGACTTGCTGTAAAACAGTTCATTAAGAAGTGAGTATAGAGGCTGTTTCGTGTCAGTGATGTTGCACCAGGAAGCCGGAAAAGATGCTGTAACCTTCCGGTTTTCCTCTCATCCCTCTGTAGTCTTTGGTCTCCAGCCAAACCTCCTGATCCCTCGACAGGTAGACCGCCAGGCTGCCAGAAGTCACCTGGAATATGTCGAAATTCGTTATAGGGAACATCTTTTTGCAGAGCGCTGCCAGTTTAAATTCACTTATTTGGTGGCACAATAATGTAAAACAACACCCTGTTTTATAATCGTACCTGTCTCCTGATGCGGCGATGATCGCAGAACGCTGCGAGCTGCATTCCGTCCAGCTTCATCAGCACACACAGCCGCTCATCTAACGAGGCGTGGTACACAAAGTAGTACGTTCCCGGGACCCGACACCTACAACACACAAACTGAATCAATTCACTAAAAGTGGATTCTGTTGTTTTCTTTCTTCCTGGCTGGTTGTGCAGCTTGATCACAGCTTTAAATCTGTTCAAACAGAAATGTTTTATTATCTTTAGCTTGTTACAACTTTATGATGCTGCCCCTTAGGCAATCCTAAAAATAAGATTAGATGGAAGAAAATGTTGAAGGAATGCTATTTGGCTATTTTCAAAATAAACTTTGGTCTTCACAGCGAGTTTAGGTTTAGGCAGCTAGCATGGCTGTAGGCTTGATTTCTTCTTGTTTATGTACATTACAGTAACCTCGTCCAAAATAACAAATACTCTGCTTTCAAATTCTGTAACGTATGATGAGAAAACAGGCGTTTTTTTCTCACCTGAAGCGTCCTGTCTCGGTGTTGTAGTCATTGTTGATGTTGGTGATGACTTTGGTGAACCGAATGACGCTGGATTTGTCCGGGTAGTTGTTGGTTCCTCTGGCCACGCTGAAGGCCGCCTGCTGCTGGACTTCAACAGTCCTGCAGCCACAGAAACAACAACACAGACTGATGCTCAGAGCTGGATTAACCTGCTGGTGGATCCCCATTGAACCACTGTTGCCCCAACCTCCAGTTCTGATCAGTGAAGCCGATGCAGACGTGTTATAAACCTGCATTCTCTCTAGTGTCCACCAGGGGGCGACTCCTCTGGTTGTATAGAAGTCTATGAGAAAATGACTCTACTTCTCTCTTGATTTATTACCTCAGTAAACATTGTAAACATGAGTTTATGGTCTCAATCTCTAGTTTCAAGTCTTCATCAATACAGCATGATGTTCATTTAGTAAATTACGTTGTGATTGACATGTCACAATCAGAGTCGTATACGGCGTCACTACGTCACTATTCCATAGTCCAAATATGGTCACTTCCATTCACTGGTTGCAACAAGCCAAGATGGCGACGGCCAAAATGCCGAACTCGAGGCTTCAAAACATCAGTCCACAAACCAATGAGTGAAGTCACGACGACTACGTCCACTTCTTATATACAGTCTGTGGTTGCCTCACGACCTTATTAATTAAATGTTAAAAGTTACCGATGTGATATGAAGGAGTCTTCTCTGTTTACATACCCTGGTTCTCCTGGTTCCCCTGGAGGACCACCAATCCCTGGGACCCCCGGTTCTCCCGATATCCCGCTCTGTCCTCGTTTGCCAGGAAACCCCATCGGCCCCGTCTCCCCCTTCTCCCCCTTCTCCCCCTTCTGAGGGCCGAGGTCGCCGTGCCACACTGCTCCTGTTCACAGCAACAACATGCCAATCATTGAACATAACAACAAGCAACTTCTAGGCATCCATGTTTGTTTGTTTTCCTTCACTGTATTCTCTAGTATATCTCTAGTATACTAGAAGGATTAACCGAACCATCAGAAGACGTGCGTGTTGGTTACCTATCTGTCCTTTGTCTCCTTTCTGTCCGTCACGGCCGTCTCTGCCAGGCAGCCCGGGAATACCTGAGGACGGAGAGACAGGTAAACAAACGAAAGACAACAACAAGGTACAAATACACAAACATGGCATGTACCCACCTGGCATTCCGTGCATCCCTGTTGTCTGGCAGGTATCCACGGCTAACAGCAAAGGTGTGGCCAACGAGAGCAAGGCACCGATCACGAGAAAACAATGACGGAGCATGACGATGAACCTGACCGGGAGACGAGGAGAGGAAACAAGGAGATGGGAGGGAATTAGGGGATCAAAACCAGAGGAGAGCAGAATTTGGGAAAGGAGAGAAGGAAAGGACTTGAAGAGACAAGGAGAAAAAAGGGAGGAAAGATGAAATGAGATGAGAAGAAAAGAGATTAAACAAGAGAAGGAGAGGTGACAGGGCAGGAGGGGAGAAGGAAAGTAACGGTTAAAAGGAGAGAAAGGGGGAGAAAGGAAAAAGGAGAGTACAAGAGGAGAAATGACAGAAGATGGGGAAAGTGGGGAAGAGGCAAGATAGATAGAAAGGAGAGAAAAAAGGGTGGAGGGAGGATAGGATGATAGGACAGGAGGCAAAAGGAGAAGAAAAAGGAAATGGGATAAGGGGAGAGGAAACAAAGAGACAAGAAAGGAAAGGAGAAGAGATGAGAAGCTGACAGGAGGAGGAAGGGAGAGAAGACAAGGACAGAAAACAGGGAGAAGAAAGAAATGAGAGGAAAGACACACAAGGAAGGAAGAGAATAAAAATAGTTTTCCAGTTTTTGTAACAAAATTATCAAAGAAATTCAACTTGCATTTCTTTACATTTTTTCATGATTTATGACATAATAACTGAGTTGTAATAGACAGAAGACATAATTGTGCTGTTTCCAAAGAGGTTCAGGACCTATTTATTGCAAAAACATTGCCCCGTAACTGCTGGAACAAAAGAAATGTGAGGTCAGATTATGATCTTATTATGATTCTCTATTAAAATACAAGTATATGTAAAAGTATATTCACAACAGTGATGTTAAAAAAAGAAGACTCATCAGATCCTCTTTTACAAATAAATGTCATTGACTTCAAACTGTAATCAACACAAAGTTGTGTATGTATATATATATATATATATACATATATATATATATATACAGGATATATATATATATATATAAAACTCACCTGACAGAAGATTTAAACCCACCTCAGTGATTTCAAAGCTAACCGACGTGAAGCATCGAGTCCTGCAGCAGCCGGAGCAGAAAGTTGACGACAAAATGTTCAGATTCAGCAGCTTCTACGCCGGAAGTTCTCCTCAGAGCCTGTTTCATGTAGTTCTGCAAATTTTGGGGAGTTGTTGAGAGCCGGAGGGACAACCAAAAGAGAGAGAGGTTGAAATGATGTTTCTGCATCACCATGAACACACACACTATCGTTTAATTTGACTAAATCACACACACACACACACACACACACACACACACCGTCCTGTTTCCACAAATACTCACTAGAGCACCAAGTGTGGTTTAATCCTATTAGAAAGACGTTTGATAACAACTACAGTGACCAGCTGTTTTACGAAGTTCCTGAGTCTTTTTTATTTTTAAATGATCTTATATATTTGTGAGCTGTTTATAAAGACGTACGTTGTCTTCGGTAGAACCAGTACACTTGGGACTTAGAGCCACAGTATCGAAGTCAGAAAGACGAAACATTGTTGGTTTTGATGTGTTCCTAACAATGTAGAATATGACCCTTGTGCTGGTGAGCATGAGAACAAGAGGCAGTCAACTGAGGGAGAGCCAGAGGGGCAAAAGTTTCCCAAAAAAGAAGAAGTGTGCGAAAAACAGAAATGTTTCGCTTCTATAATCTTCAGAGGGGTCGTGTGAAAGTGTTCTATGAGACGGGGTCAAACATAGAAGTACTGCATAGATCAAAGGAAAACTTTTTACGGTCAGCTGTAATGTTTATGATAGAAAAAGCATTTACATTGAGGATGTAACACACATCTGTCATTTTGATCCAGGACGTGGTTAGCCTAGCTTAGCACAAAGAATGGAAGCAGGGGGAAACTGCTAGCCTAGCTTTGTTAATCATCTGACCTGACTCTCGGTAGTCCATTCTTCAGTGAGATTTCTAGAGCAAACATTTAAAACAGCTCTACATTTCATGTGCTTAGATATTTGTTTAGAGACGTCACTGTATCTGTGTTGGCTGAGAGAGAAATTAACTGTTTAAGAATTGAATTTATTTTTTTTGTCCATTTTGTCTATTTGTCTGCATATATTTGTCTATTTTTGAATAATTTTGAACTACTTCAATCTCATCCAGCATTCACAGCAATAGCAACAAAAAAATAAGGCGCGGTAATTCATTGATATCCCACGAAATGATTTCATATGTTTTCCACGTAATCATGAACGAGGAAATTTTAAAAACGCAAAAGCCCACACAGGTAGCGCAGGAGCGGAGCGGGCATCATTCAGTCGAGTCAGTTGATACATTTTTCACGGAACTTGCGTACTTCAGTAACATGCGTGGTTTTTTAAAACCCAAATGAAAATCTTGCATGTGATATTAAGTCAATATGTGTATTTTGATGTACATCTTGTGGAAGCTCATTTATGGCAGAAAAAGAAAAAGAAAAAAATTAAGAAAAGCTTCTGGGAAACACTACCGATTTTGTCCACAGACACCGCCAAAATCAACACAAAATTTCAACAAAACCAATGACTCTCCCTGAAATTTATAATGAAATTATACGTATCATACCTTTAATATAACCACACTTAACCCACACTCAATAATAAACTTTAATTTGTTTTAGTTGCATTTACAGTCAAGATTCAGAGGCGGTTTAATATGAAGGAAACAGATGAACAAATCTAAAGTTACTAAAGATTCACAAACACTGATGTACATGATGCTGTGTTATAGTGAATTTTTTTTCGAAAAATGTCAACTTCAATTTTTTGATGCTAAATTCGTAAAGGCAATCTCGGGTTTTTTTTAGAAGAGCAGGAAGCCGCTGAAGATGATCCGTTTCTCGTGGCTGTCTCGTGTTTCAGCGTCTCTCTGCTGGTCCCTGAAGGACTCCAGCCAAACCTTCTGTCCGACCGCCAGCTGTAAGACCACGCCGCCCGACATCACCTGAACAACACAACACAGACAATCACATGACAAAACTCAGCAGTGGTGGAAGAAGTTCAATACAAAACGTTTTTAACTGGTTATAAAACTGCCTCAATCAAAAGCTGGTGCCTCTATATGACACCATCAGTGAGAAGATTGGCTGTTATTCCTGAGTGCCTGTCAGCGAGTTCAATTCCCGCTAAAATCCAACACATTCTCACAGTGGGTTTAAGCTTCAAACTTTGACGCTCTACGTATCACTCCTGCGTCAGTTTTGCACGTGTCAATATCTGGATGAAGCAGAGGGAGATTTTTCTTTAGAGTATTATTTGTTTTAAGTTATATTTTGTGGTTATATGTCTGATGCTGGGGCAGGATCAGCAAAGAGAAAAAGAAAGAAGACGTGGTTTTACATCAGTATATTAATTTACATTGGTGGCTAAAACAAAGCTAGCTAACGATTTGGCTAAGTTGAATGTAGCTAACGTTAGTTTAAAAAGTTTTCTGTGATTACGAGCGTGATGATCAACATGCACCAGGCCATCAACAGTAGTTTGTATAAACTTGAAAAGATAAACCACTGAAGTAAATAAACCTATTTCATGACCAAGTTGCTTTTTTTCAAAACAAAAGCATGTGATGCACAAGCCAGATCAAGATGTTTACGACACGAAGCTGTGGTGCTCATAGAAAACACTACCGCTTTGTCCAGAGGGGGCGACAAAATCAACACGAAATGAAAGTTCCCTGTAGCCTCTTTAAGTTAAAGTAGAAATACTATAGTCTCAAAACTACAGCCGGTAGAGGGATAGTTCTTGCTGTAATAATTCTGTCAAACTGACCTGATCGGTGTTCCTGTTGTAATCACAGAATCCCAGCTTGTCTGTCAGAACGTCACTGTTGATACCAAGACACACGCTGACCTGAGAAACACACAACACACAGAACAATTCAAACGCAGTTTGATAACGAAGCTATCTGTAGGTGCAGATTACCAGCGGCGGAAAAAGTATTTAGATCCTTTAATTACTTAAAAAGTACTAATACCACACTGTGAAAGTACTCCATGCAAGTAAATGTCCTGCATTCAAAACCCAACTTAAGTAAAAGTATGAAAAGTACTGAATGTTCCCTGTGTACGTTACATTTTCTGCTGTAATGTGTTTAATATACTGTTGGCTAGTTTGATCTACAATTAATTTAAAAAATGCATTTTCCAACTGATCCAAGAGGCTTTTTAAAGAGTTTATTTAGCTTTTTACTCTCTATCTCTAACCCTCTATCATTCAATTTATCAGAAAATAATTTAATTTCAACTTTTCTTTTGTTTTCACCTGACAGGAAGGGTAAGAAAATTGTAATCTGAAAGCAACTAAAGCTGTCAGACAAATGTAGTGGAGCAAAAAAGTACAATATTTCCCCGCTGAGATTTAGTAGAGTAGAAGTATAAAGATCCATGAAAGTAAGTTCCTCCACTTTGTACCACATTCCTTGTGAAAAGGTATTGATTACATAAAAATAGCGTTTCTGATCTGTTACGTAGTTTAAAGCTTTCAAGTGTGTTACCTTGGCCACAGAGTGGAAGGTGAAGTAATAAATGCCAGGTACTCGGCAGATGAAGTGACCTGTGGCTGCGTTAAAGTCGTCTTGTGTGTTGACCACGGTTGTCTGGAAGGTTATTGTCTGATACACACACACACACACACACACACACACACACACAGAAAGAATAGTCAGAGAAAAACAATGAGCTGATACAATCATAAAAATGTAAAGGAAAAAAAGGTAAAATAGTATGATATGAGCAGTGAACAGTTACAAAGGAACTATATCTTTGGTGGTTCCCATGAAAACTGTTGACAATGAGCTCTGTGGATTATCCAGACTAACAGAGACACAATAACTAGAAAGAATGAATACAAAGGTATCAAATAAATGTAGTGGAGTCAAAAGTACAATATTTCCCTCTGAGATATACTGTACAGTAGTGGAGTAAAAGTATAAAGAAAATGGAAATACTTAATGTAAAATTGCTTAAATACTACACAGTTCTTGAGTAAATGTACTTAGTTACTTTCCAGCATTGCTTCTCTCTGAAAAACTTTACTTTTACTCCAGCAGACATCAAATAAAGAGGGAAACGGGTTTTATTTGTAGACATTTTGCAGATTTTAAAACGTTCCTGAGATGACACAGCAGAGAGACAGACAGGTGTGATGGACGACGGACTGAACCTGGCCGTAGGGAGGATAACTGCTTTCAGTCCTGATCACTGAGAAGGCTGAATGACCCTGCTGACGGGAGAGCTGTCCTCCTAAACCACACACACGCACACACACACACACACACAGTCATGTTTACGTGACTTTTGGGGACATTGCATTGACTTACATACATTTCTTGGAGACTTACCCTTACTGTATAACCCTTACCCTAACATCAAACCAAGACTTCACCCTAAAAACTAATGGTATAACTTACCGGGACTTACATTTTGTCTGAAAAGGGAGGCAAGTCCCGACAATGTTTTTTTTGTTGTTGTTGTTGCAGTACCACAAGTGGCCACTGGGACAAATCGGCAGAATGAACAACACATACATGGCTGGAATTCGGCTTCATTTTTTTCTCCTTCCCCTCTAGAAATTAACTTTTCCCATTTTGTGCAATTCTGGAGAGCTGGTTGTTATTGTTTTTGTTCAGTTGTCACCATAATAATTTGTTGTGTACATTTTTAATCTGCCCAATATCTCAATGTCTGTCCTCACCCGTCAATACAGAGATTTCATTCTATTGACTTTTATGTATGAATGTATTCTTAATCCTTGATTGCTATTATCTTAATAAGTTCCAGCAAACAGATAACTCCCATTTTGCCTTTGGATATATTTCATCTGTGTATGATCTGTTTTATTCTCTGTCCTGTCAGATGTTTTTTTTATTATACATGAGTTAGCATTTTGTATACTGTAAGCTGTCGGGTCAGAAGTCGTGTCATTACCGTGGCCAATACTCTTCCCCTCGGGGCCGGGGCGACCGGGCTCTCCAGGGTCACCTGCTGATCCCAGATGTCCGCGGTAACCTTTAGGACCCATGGCCCCTTGAGGGCCTCGACTCCCCCCCTCCCCCCGTAGCCTCAGCAGGACGCCGACATCCACCGGACCGTTGTCCATCACAGCTGAAGACAAACAGATGAAGGAATCTCTTTTAAATAATTTCTTAAAACTTATTTACACAGGCTTTAATGTGACGTCGTCTTTTTATTGCTTTTATTTTATTTTTGTTAATAATATTTTCTTTTTATTTTCATTTTTTTTTATGGTATTGATTGGTTTAATTGTTTCATCTATTGTACTGTTTTATCAATTTGATAATCTATCATTTATGAATACTTGGTTAGATTTTGGAAAAGATCATGAAATATTTAGTTAGGTTAAGGAAAATATCGTGAAATACTTAAATAGATTTAGGAAAAGATTGTAAAATACTTAGTTAGGTTTAGGGAAAGATACTGCTGTCTTTAACTGTCTAAAATGTAGATTGTATTTCAGTTTTTAGAATGATTAATTCCCCTGTTCTTTGCCTCAGTATAATTAAATGGAAATATAAAGTTGCATAGAACTGTCGGTTTGTTACCTGGCTCTCCTTTCTCTCCCTTCACTCCAGGAAATCCATCTCTACCCGGAGCTCCTGCCTCTCCAGCCCGGCCGTCCGTCCCTCTGCAGCTCACATCACATTGGCCGGTCGTCAGAAGCAAAGCCACGCCCACCAGAACCGCCATCCCATAATAACCCGCCATGGTCCAAAACCCTGGATTTAACAATGATGCTTAGAAGAACAAGAAGAAGAACAAGAAGGTTGTGGCAATGATGGACGACAAAACACAAGAGACGGATGACGAGAAGACACTTAACAAGAAGTTTAATTCTTATCAGGGTTTTAGAAACATGTTTTTGATACAAAATATATTTCCACTATAATTAAATTGAATAGTGTAAAGAACTAAATAGACTCAATAGTGTTCACACATTGATATTAGCAGAATATAATTAAACAGAGGGAAGTGGTTTACAAAAAAGATCAGGATACAGAATTGATTCACACACATAATAAAAAGAGAAAGGCGCAATATAAATAGGTAAAACAATAGGCAATTACATTTTTAGGAATTGAAATAATCCCAATTAGCTTTTACATTATGGAGGTTTTAACTTTGCTTCAGAGAGATAATCTGTCACAGTGATCGTTTAGTTAACTTTATCTTTACGTTATGTAATGTTTAAATTGTGTTATGTTGTGTTGCTGCTGTACAGTTGTTGATACTGTCTTAATGTTGACAGAAAAGCATAAAAACATATTGAATGTTGGAAGACATTATTTTTACTCACCAGTCGACTTCTCTGTCTCACGAGCGGAGATGAGGAGCTGCGAGAAAAAGACGGGATTTCCTCTTTTGGTGAACAGATCAAGACTTCTTATTAGACTCGGTACACACACACTCACTCACTCACACACACACACACACACACACACACACACACACACACACACTCAAGAATACACAAAACATCAGAAAGGAAATGAAACTTGCGATCTGACAGGAAGAAAGTTTGATTGTTCAAAGTGGCTGGTTCATGATCTTGGGCCAATTCAACAAAGATATTTTAGACCTGTCTGTTGTGTTAGCAGGTTAGATTTGTTTAATGCAACTTAAAGTAATAATCTCAAAACGTTTTTTGTTAAATAAATGTCTGACTGTCCTTTACATTTGTGGAACAAGGAAAAATCTCAATCCACTGTTTGGATCTCTGGTCAGTGAGATAAATTAACATTTATGTAAACATATGTGACGCAGACAGAGACAGCAGTAATCTGTTTAGATTACATTTGACTCGACTTTATTGTCCTTGCAGTTGAGTCGAGACAACAAAATGCAGTTAGGCTTCAACCAAAAGTGCTAAAAGCATCTGATGTTGCAACGTAAATAAAAAGTGTGGGGCGCCCTCATGTGGTTATATGATGCAATAACAGCAGACTGACATACAGTTCAATCTGTAAATTTGAAATTGTTGTGACTTTATGACCACAGGACACAAGAGAGATTGGATTTTCTTCAGTTCACGCAGATTTATTTGCATCACAAAGTATACAAGTAAACCGAGCTGTCCGGAGTCAACTCACTTCACAATAGCATTGTACATTATTTTATACCTCCATTCGGAGATGTCCTCCTCTGAACTTTCACCGAGACAAGTTACACTGTGTACCTCGGACAAGTCATAACAGAGGGGTTTTTTGATTAACCACCGTCTCCTTCCCCACGCGTCTTCTCCTGATTCCGCCTCAGGCCGCCCGTCACAGCGACCGGCTCCCGTTCATCCCCTGCGTTAGAAATCTTGCCCTACTTGTTTATCTACGTCATCCTCCCTCTATCTTCACCCGGGCTCCAAGGCCGCTATACTAGACTCCCTGTCTCAGTGACGTGAATAACATAATAGGCCAATATCACAGTATGAATGTGAACATACATGAATACATTTGAAATTATGGATATGATTGATTTTACACAAATATATTTCAAGACACAAATCATTTTTCTCCCACAAAATCAATATTTATCTACACGCAGCAATTCTGAGATACAACAAAAAAGGTGTCTTCTGAATTTATGTGTTTATCCAGTATTTCGATTTTCTGATTCTTTATACTTCAACTACTTTCAGAGTGAAATATACTTTTACACCACATTTATATGAGTTATTTTTGATATGAAGCCTTTACATGATGAAAACATATAAGTTTTATAAAATACACATTGTTCAACTTTTTTGTCAAAAAAACAGTATCTAATTGGATTTACATTCATCAGTTTGACACAAACAACTTCACTGGGAATTTTTGTGGCAATACTGCTTTTAATCATGAGACGTGCATCTCTGTGCATCATTTATAATCATCTCTTGAGCTTTTCTTTTCTTAGATCTCGCCCTGTAATATCTTCAGTGGGAGTTCATTCCACGTGTTAAAGTATGGAAACATCCTCTCAGTGAATCTGTGTGTGAAGGTGTGAATGTGTGTGTTAGTATCAGGATCAGAGAAGGACAGCTTGTCTTTGTCCCAGTCCAGATGAACTCTGATCTTCTGGAGCTTCTTCTTCACTGAGAGATCAGTTTTTGGATGTGAGGGGGAGACTGCTGTGTATTTACCTTCATAAAACCCTATTCTACACAATCCAGACTTTATGCCTGATTTCCTTTTGACAGATTCTGCTGCCACACCCACAAACCAGTCTGTGTTGTCTTGAACATCAATGTCCCAGCTGTGAGTCCCTGACTTAAACCCCTCAGAGCCCAGAACAATACAAAAACAGTCAAACCTCTCTGGATTATCAGGACGCTTCTGTCTCTCTCCTCGTCTCACACTGGTCAGATCTTCAGACAGGATGAGTTCTGGATGAGCAGTGTTTGGGTCCAGAATCACAGGAGTGTAGGAGACCATGTCCTTCATCTTGTTCCAGATGTTGAAGGTCAGGTTGCCCAGGTGTTTGGCCTCGTCTATCAGAGCTCCTGAGAGCAGCTGTGGATCCTCCAGCAGGGGGCGCTGCTGGACTCTTTCCACTGCAGCCTTGTAGTTGTTCAGGAATGAGACGTCTTCAGCTCTCAGCTCGTCCTCTGTGGCTCTGACTGTGTCTGACAGAGCTGCTATCTCTCTGCTCAGAGCCTCCATCTTCTCCTTCATCATCTGACTCTTCTGCTCCTCTTCCTCCCTCAGTGCAGCCATCCTGGCCTCCTCTTCCTCCTCTAGAAACTGGTGAAGCTTCTTAAACTGCTCCTTAATCTGCCTCTCTGTGCGTCGGGCCTGGACCTTCATGTGTTCTGCTGTTTGATCACAGTTTATTTTAACTTGTTTAAAAAGCTTCAGTTTCTCTTTTAAGAGCTTCAGGGATTTCTGGATCTCCTCCTTGTGATCCTGTACAACTTCCTCGATGGGTTTGAATGTGTGGTTGTTGTGTTTTTCTGAATCTCTGCAGACGAGACACACTGGCTGCTGATGGTCCAGACAGAAGAGTTTGAGTTTCTCAGAGTGCAGACTGCAGAGAGGCTCTGAAGCTCTCTGATCTCTCTCCCGTATGAAGGACTCACACAGGTTCTTTATCACCAAACTAACAGGTGGATCAGTTCTTGATGATCTTCTGTTACAAACTGGACACTCACGTGTTTGTTTCTCTGCCCACCAGTTCTTCAGACAGTCTCTGCAGAAGCTGTGGCTACACGACAGGACAACAGGATCCTTGAAGATGTCCTGGCAGACAGAACAGGAGAGATCCTCCTCTAATCGGAGAGACATTTTCTCTTTGAGTGACGCTGAAAACACAGCAGGCAGAAAGCTAAACAGGAAGTCAGACAACCGGGGCTCCTTTGCCCTCTGGAAAAGTTGTTTTTCCCCCTCCTAAAATTCACAGTCCGTGAATGCAGTGAGCAGCAGGTTAAAGCTGCAGTACTCACACCAAAGTGCTGCTGCAGAGCTTTTTTTCTCGCTCAGGGGGAGTTGTGGGTCTGAGAGACTATTGTTCGTGTCAGAGCGTGTCACATCCTGGTCTGTCTGTTTTCTGGTTCGTTTCAGTCGAGTTGGAGGTGGAGCTCTGTGTCTGATCACTGGACCGTTATGTAATACATATTATAGTTGTTTATTAATCAAGGACAGCAACAAAACACGATCTCTTACTCCTTCTTATATTGTGCATCAGTAAGCAATGAAAGAGTATTTCTTTATCATCGCTTACCAAGTATTATAAGTAAAACACCAACTTTTAAAGTATGTCCATATGTAATTACATCAAATCACAGCAGCTGACAGGATTTTTTTAAACATGTCATTGCAGACAGGAAGGAAGAGAACCCTTTCTCCAAACAGGACGCCATTTCATCCTTCGATGAATCCAAACTGTCACACTGCCTCATTGTCCACATACCATTCGTGGGAAGAGCGCTAAGATAACACGACGAGTCGCGTCTTGCTGGCCGTCTGTGTTTCTGTGTAAATATAAAAACACACATGAAACCAAATACGCTTTTTCTTTGCTTTCCACTATCACAGGTCACAACAAGAAGTTTGGTGTAAAACAATATCAAAAGTGTTCTGTTCGGAAGTCTTCAGCAGGGACGGCATGGTTTTAAAACACAGAAAAACACAAACAAACACATTAAATACAAAACAATACGGTACAAAACGTTGTGAGGGGTCACTAAGGGGAGTGAAGAAGAAATCAGGACTAATAGAAACCATGAATTATGTAAATAGAGCATAAACCGGTTATACTGTACTAACAGGCACTCAGTAGAGTAACCGTGTTACGTTTGTGTTTTTGTGCATTTTAATATAAATTATTGGCCCTTATATGTTCACATTGTGCTTTTTTGTTTGTAATTCTGCTCGTTAAGCACTTTGTGACTAATGTCTGTGAAAAGCGCTTTATAAATACATTTGACTTACTCACTTACTTACCTCAGTATCATGGCAGCTCATGAAATAGTCACAAAAATCCATCTATTGGTTTCACACATTCACCAAAAGTTGCCATTAGATAACTCTTCATCTGCACATTTGTCATGTTTAAACATTTTAGAAAACCTTAATGCAAGTAATTAACTGGGTATGTTGCATGCATGATATCTATTTGATTTTTAAAAATATTTTCTTTCACCACATTCCCCTGCAGTGTCTCCGCTGGAGAATAAACTGTATTGATCCCGTGAGGAGCTTTACCATCTACCAATCACCACCATGAAGTAATTGAAATTAGCCCCACCTTTACCAGTTGCCACCAAAAGTCATGAACACATAACTGATCTAATAATATAAATACACAGCACACCGGACAAGTACCCCACACACACACACACACATACACACACACACACACACCACACACAGTGTATCATGCTGCAATTATGGTGATTATTTTGGTAAATATTAACCAAACGTGTGTTCTCTTTTGCTCTATATGGAGGAAGCATACATTCAAATTTAAAATGAATGATAACAGACTCCTGGAGCTCAGTGGCCATCGGTGACGGCATGTTCATGTTCAGGCTCTGTGTGTCGTTTATTTTTCATGTCTCGTCGTCTGAGAAATGGAACATAAAAACAATCTTAAAGCAAAGCACATGTTTTTAATAACTGTGAGAACACCCCAACTTAATTCCAGAGAGAAATCCGTCACACAACTCTGTTTGAATCAGTATTTTTTTTAATTAAATGTGCGGTTTGATGACCTAAAACACCATACAAGCATTTATTATATCATATTTTGTTTATGTGAATGTAGGGCACAAACATACAAACAATATCACACATACCTCTGCTGAGCCACAAAGATGAGACAAACGTCGTCTCTCACACATTTTAGTGCATTTTACTTCTGGTTTCTTTTGTTTTTTTTATAGATGATAAAGACCAGATGAAATCTCTCTCTCTCACACACACTCACTCACACACACTTTTTTTTACACACAACATGAAAACATTTGAAGGGTGGGACATTTGTTTTGTTTTCTCTCTCTCATTCCAGCTTCTGCTATTGGTTAGCTTTCGACCAATCACGTTGCCTGTGGTCACTTTATATGAAATGCTTTACCTCCTCTGCAGTGACTTTAGATCTAAGAGCTTTTCACTGTGAAGTCCACAAGGTTTCCTTTCCTCTTCTTTCACTTTATTTAATCCTTATTGGGGATAAACAAATCGGATCTAAAAGGGTCAAAGCAGAGTCTCCTCCTCCTGCAGGTGAGAAACAACTTGTTGTTTTGTTTTCCTCACGCTCAGCTGAATACTTGAGAGGCTTTACAAGTCTTTTAGACAATGAAACAGCTGTAGGCCATAAATCAACAGGTGGAAGAATCAGTCGAGGCAGCGCAGATGTGAGGAACAGGGAGTTCACTTGGTTTCATGTTTTTGTTGGATCATTACTCAAATCCTTAAGTTAACATGCTAAAACTACAATAGAACAACTGGCTGCGTAAAAGCAAAATCTGACTGAAGTAAACACAAACAAGCATCAGCAGTAAGCACACATTTACTAAAGTAGTACTTCTGTACAAATTTGAGGTACTTCTGCTTTACTTGAGCATTTGTCTAACCGCTTTAGTTACTTTTTTTACTGGACCTTCCTGTCCAGTAAAAAGTGAATGTTTGTGATAAACTGAAGGATGAAGTGTTTCCTTCATGTGTTGAGAAAATCCTCGGACATCTTAAACTAACTAAACTCTTTAAAAAGCCTCTTGGATCACCTGGACAATGCATCGTCTCAAAGCTGATAACAGGCTGTTTGTTCTTTTTAGAGATGCGTGGTTCTCACCGGAACATGTGATGATCATAAATAATAAGATGCATTGATGTAGAATGAACCGCCAACAGGATACAAAGGAGTTAAAATGAAACGTACACATTAATGCTGCAGTTACATTAAAACACTTACTGGGAACATTTTCCTGCACAATGAGTACGTATTCTTTTAATGCTTAAAGCTTCGTACTTTTACTTGAGGTTTTGCATTCAGGACTTGTAGTGGAGTATTTTTCACAGTGTGGTATTAGTACTTTTACTGCAGTAAAGGATCTTATGGGTTTTATAGTGAGAGCCAGGGGCGTTTCTAGGATTCAAAGAAAGGGGGGGGCTTAGCCCCAAGGGCAGCGGCATGTTTGCACTCGTAGCGCTTGGCAATTTTTTTTGGGGCCCATTTGGGGCCGCAGATATCCATTGTTTCAGACAGTTCATAGATTGGTTCAATCAGAGAGAGTGTGATTTTGCTTGCATTCAGTATATGATGACACAAGAGACAGAATTTTAGGGTCATAGTGAAATTTGACAACACAAATATGAACTTTTCTCAAATAAAGAGAGAAATAATTTTCCTGCTTGTAAAGGAAAGACGGATAAACTAGCTTTCATATCCGCGTCACTCCCAAATCCTAATTCTTAAAGGGACCGCACACAATGGATGGAGAATGGACCTGACAGTGTCAACCTTATATCGTTAAGTATGATGACAGGCTGTTGGATTGTAATTTGAAGGGGGAGAAAACATACAAACCAGAACGCACGCACATATGTAGCATGTTAGTTATAAATAACTTGTCCATGTGAGAAACAATAGTTTAATTTAATGACATCACCAAAATAATATATATTTTTTTTCTTTTCTTTTTTTTTTTTAAATCCAATAATGCCAAATTATTTGGGGGGGCTGAAGAACATTTTAGGGGGGCTTCAGCCCCCCTAAAATAGGCGTAACGACGCCCCTGTTGAGAGCAGACAGGACGTCACCAGCAGGTAGAAACTGACTGCTGCCACCGTCTTTAAGTTTCATACGAGGTAAAACTCTTCATGGCAACAACGATATCTGATCGCAGTGTTTTCAAAGACGTCATTGTGTGTTCTGAGGAAACCAAAGTGTGTGTGTGTGTGTGTGTGTGTGTGTGTGTGTGTGTGTGTGTGTGCGCGCGTGTTTCCACTGATCGCCTGACTGAATAACAAGACAAGTTGGACAACCTCCACAACACTTTACAAAAGATTTAGAGGTTACTCACCTGTCGAACCACAACGACCAGTTAAACTCTATTCTCATGTTTCTCTGAGGGAACAGTTAAATACGTATAACATGTCAGAGAATCGTGTAAAATGCTTGTTTCCCAGAGCCTAAAGTGAAAAAAAACGCAAATATTACCAGATACCTTTTTGGTTTCCAATCGTTTCATCATTATTGACGTTTCTCTTATTTTATCTGTCTTCTGTTTATTATTCTTAGTAGATCTGAAGAAAAAAAATCTTAAACTTAATCCATTTATGACAGGACTTCCTTATAGTGTAGTCATAATAAAGAATAACTGAAACACAGCTGGGGATTGACAGAGTCATTGTATTGTATGAATCGGGTACCAATAAGATATTTACCAGTTCATGCAAGTACTTAAACGTAGTTGCAGTTAATGAATTAGTTAAGTTAATAAATACTTGGCAAAGTACTCTAAACCTCCTCTGTGGTAGTTCAGCTCCAGCTCCACATTCAGCCATGATGAGTCAAACACAGTCGATGTCACAGCTGTTAAAAACAAACAGGTTGAGCTGATGTTTACTGCCGGCTGTGTGTGAGATCTACTGAAAGAGGTTTGTCCTCTTTGACCGACAGCAGTGATTACAAGTCCAAACCCTTAATTACATTACATTTATAGCCCAATAACTTCCTGTGGTGAGACATTGTCCCCTGGCTGTTGTTGCGTAATGCTGTATGTGGACGTGCTGCTGCCTGGTTGGTGGTGATGTAAAACAAAAAGGATTTTAATGAGTTTATTTTATTAAATCATTTCTGTTGAAGGATTGATCTCTTTAGGAGGCTGCTATATCAGTCACTGTAACGCTGTTAACATGGACTTTTTAGCAAAAAGCTGATAAAGTGAGATTTAAAAAGCTCCTCCACTACTACTATATGTATCTGTGGATGTTTTCTTTTGCATCTATTGTTTTCATTCTATATGAATCTGTCATGTTCATGTTACAATTGCTTGCTTTGTCCAAAAAGAAACCGTCCTAAACTCAAAGAAATATTCCACTTTAAGGCTGGAACTAAAAATAGTTTTGCTTCAACAATGATTTGAATAATCAAAATACGTTTTCTGTCATCGTTCCAGCTCTACAGATGTTCATCTTCTGTTTGTTATTCTTTTCCTGGTAGAATAAATGTAAACCTAATAGATTGTAGCCATAATAACAAATAGTTGATAACAGTGTATTTTCATTGTATGGATGAGGTATCAATGACACATGTTTCAGTTATACTTTTACAATTTATGGATGTAATTGAATTAACATGAATACAATTTTTCTTTTAATGTTCTTATTTCATCGTGTTCATGTTTTTTTTTGTTTTCATGAAATATTTGTGAGGTTTTTTTGTTACTTTCTTGAATAAATAAAGATTTAAAAACACATTATGTATGAAGTCAGACTCATGAAACTTGGTCCCAACAGTATTTTGTTTTATTTTAATATTTTTCTGTCTCTACAATGTTTTGTTACCTGGGCCTCAGCTAGTTGAATGAGACGCCAGGCTTTAAGTGACGCAGCTGCTGTTGAGACACACACACACACACACACACACACACACACAGTAATTCCACACATGCCTGTGCATGTTCAGAAACAAAAACAATGCTAATAATATCTCACTTCTCTTCCTGTCTGTCTCTTCTTTATGTTTTCTTGTTTTCTCTCTGCAGCCACCATGAAGATAGCATCGTTTAACGTCCAGAAGTTTGGAAGGAGCAAAGTGTCAGACACAGATGTCCTCAATATCCTGATAAAGGTAACAATGACCAGTGTGAAAACAAACACATTTTACAAAACAGGAAAGGACTTTCCACATGTCAGCTGCTCTAATTAAAATGTTTCTTTTTACATGAAGAAATACATGTGTGTGTCCCCAGGTCGTGTCGCGATATGACATCATTGTGATCCTGGAGGTGGTGGACATCAGTGGAGATTCTGTAAAAACCTTCCTGGATGCACTCAACAAGTGAGTGCCAGCTTTCTTTCTGTAATTGTATTATTATTATATCAGACGGCAACAGTGCGTTAAAGCTGCATTCTCTCTACTGACCACCAGGGGGCGACTCCTCTGGTCGTATAGAAGTCTATGAGAAAATGACTCTACTTCTCTCTTGATTTATTACCTCAGTAAACATTGTAAACATGAGTTTATGGTCTCAATCTCTAGTTTCAAGTCTTCTTCAATACAGCATGATGTTCATTTAGTACATTATGGTCCATTTAGAGTCACACAGACCATAAAGCAGGGGATGCTTTAGGGCGGGGCTACCTTGTGATTGACTAATATGGTAACTTCCGTTCACTGGTTGCAAAAAGCCAAGATGGCGACGGCCAAAATGATTAACTCGAGGCTTCAAAACCGCAGTCCACAAACCAACAGGTGACGTCACAACAAGTACGTCCACTTCTTACAGTATATACAGGCTATGTATTAGATCAGGAAGTCATTTCCTCAGCCTTGAATTTTCCTGCAACTGCAAACATAAAAACATGAAGAAGAGTCAAGATCAACAGAGCCAAGTGGCTCAATGAGGCGGATGATTGGCAAAATGGCCAAAAAGCTGATTTTAGGATGCTAACATTTTCACAATGACAATGCAAAACCAGTTTAGTGTGAAGCAATAAACCCAAAATACAGAGGCTGATGGGAATCTCATTCATTTTGGTCAAAAACCGAAGTATTGGTCAAATTAAAATTGACGAAAAATAAAGTGATCACCAAAGATCGGAACCAAATTTCACGGCCGTGTGTTAGAAATGCTAGATTTGAATTAGATGTGGAATGGAGCCAAGCAGATACAGAAAAGTAAATCTGTTTGATCTAACTTTGAAGCTATGTAAGGGGAGATCATATTAACATCTGTATGTCTGTCTAGAGCCAACAGGAAGCATCACTACACCCTGAAGATCAGCAGTCGCCTGGGCCGAACACGCTACAAGGAGCAGTTCATGTTCCTGTACAGGTGAGTGTTCACCTGCAGCGGATTCCTAAACCTATACAGCAGTTCAGTCAAAGACATTCCTGATCTTCATACATGGTTAACGCTTGATAAGCTTTACATTAAGCCTCTGAACAGTAGCGGATGAATATTGATCATTTGAGCTGCCACACTTTTCATTGTCCTGGTCTTTTTAATTCATTCCCAACAGAGCAGCATATCCCTCGTCTATTTATACCTCTGATTGCAGGGACAGAAACCTACTCAGCTGATCGTTCTGAAGCTGCATAATCAAAATACAATGTATTGATCAACGTGTGTGTGTGTGTGTGTGTGTGTGTGTGTGTGTGTAGGGATGACTTGGTTGACTTGGTGGGCTCCTATCAGTTTGATGACCAGGTGGCCGAGGGAGGAGACATTTTCGCTAGAGATCCTTACATCCTGCGATTCAGATGCCTCAATACAGGTAGAAAAGAGCAGTTCTACATCCTTACGTGTAGCTGGTGGTTCAGGGGCAGAGGTACAATAATATAAAAGTCCTCTAAATTTAAAATAACTTAAAGCAAGATATTAAAAGGATGCTGGTTAGGCCTCTCATCAGTGTGTTACTCGTATGAGACAGACTTAACCCTGTTTAGGATTTGGACTTGGGTTTAGGTTTGGTGTAACTCTAATCGATGTGTAATGTGTGTGTGTGTGTGTGTGTGTGCGTGCCCACTACAGTGCTGAAGGACCTGGTAATGATCCCAGTTCACACCAAACCAGATGACTCGGAGAAGGAGTTGGACGAGCTCTACGATGTCTTCCAGCACATCAAGAAGAAGTGGAGGACCGACGTGAGGACACGACGGGATTAATACGCTGACTGCTGCGATGACGGATTTACCAATACAATACAAACAATATGCTAATTCAGTGATTCACAAACAGAGCTTCCAGTATCACAGGGGGTGGAGTAGCTGGACTTATTTCACAAAAATACATAAAATAAAAAGGTTTAAATCGGTAGCTAAAAGTGGTGGATAAACAATTAGTCGTTAGCTTAAAGTGGTGGATTAAAATTAGATTTTGTTCGCTACAAATAGTTGGATAAAAGTAATGGATAAAGAGTTAAAATAGCTTAAAGTAATGGCCAAACAGTTGAAATAGGTTAGTATATAAGTCATTGCAATAGTTAAAATAATGGAAATATGGCAGCAGTGGCATTGGGTGATTGGTTGAAATATTTTAAAGTAACGGATAAATGTCTGAAACATTCAGCTTCTGCAACTGAATGCAAACTCAACCAAACTGACAGTATGAATAATAATAATAATAATAATAGCGTCTGTCGTCAAATTTCTGACAGCAAAGACGTGAAAATAAAGTTAAAATGCTTTACCTGTCAGAAAATGTACAACTCTTTAATAATTAATCCAAAGAACAATGTATTTAACTTGACATCGGGCCTCTGTTCTCCAGAACGTGATGATCCTGGGCGACTTCAACGCGGACGGCTCGTACGTCTCCAGGAGTGAGATGAAGGGTATCCGTATCCGTATGGACAAGAACTTCCACTGGCTGATTGGAGACGACGTCGACACCACGGCGAGCAACCGAAATGACCACACATACGACAGGTACGCACACAAACGCACAGCTCAAAAGCGGTGGTTATCTGAATGTTATATATATATACTGTCTAAAGTACAGTAGCTAGAATTGGCTCCACAGGGTACCACTTAAAACAAATAATAATACTGTGCTTAGTTATTATGAGCAGTTAACTTAGCTTAGCACAAAGAGTAGAACAGTTTAACACAGCCAGGCTAGCTATTTCCTCCTGTTACCAGTCTTTATGCTAAGCTAACTGGCTGCTGGGTGTAGCTTCAAATATAATGGACATTTGTATCTTTTCATTTAAGTTTCAGCAAAAGAATGTTTCCCAAAACTGTCAAACTATTTCTTTAAATTGGCTGAAATAAAAAGTAACGGTTACAAAAAATTTTACTTTTCAATGTTGTGTTTTTAAATGTTTTCTTCTAAGTTTTGTTTGTTTGCTTAAATGTTACTGTTTTGTGGGTCTAGATTAATTTGTTCATAGTTTTTGTATTTATGTATCTATATCTAACCGTTTTTGTTTTTTTAATGGCTGCTCCAAGACGAGTTTCCATTTAAGGGAGAATAAAGTATAACTTGGGTAATATGAGTAAAATACTCACTGTCTCTCTGCAGGATAGTGGTTTACGGAGATGCCATGGTCCAAGCTGTCGTACCGAACTCTGCCAAACCTTTCAACTTCCAGAAGGCATATAGACTCAGCGAAGAACAGGCAGGCCTGAAATGAATTATTGTGTTGTTGTTAAGAACCTAAAGGTTTTTATCACACCTGCAGTTTGTTTTCTCCTTTATTATGGAGCACCAGCAGCATGTACTTATTATTATTTTAATTGTGTTTATGTGGTTAATATACCAGTGCTGATAAAAACCATTACTCTTTACACGGTAGAATGATCTTCTGGGGAGCATGAAAATGTTTTAGCTTAACAAAAACTAATGTTTTTCAGACTCTGAAGGTGAGCGACCATTACCCTGTGGAGGTGGAGCTGAAGTCCACGACTAGCGGAGCACAGGAAGATGATGGTAACCAGCACAATTATACTCATTCTTATTATGTACTACTACTACTATTAACAATAAGTACACAATCGATATTTAGTTCATGTAAAAGGATGCTAAACCTCCAACACAAACATACTCCCATCACAAAAATAAGGGGAGACTTTTTTTTACAAAACTATTGTTTCTGTTTGGTTTTTATTTTAGAGACAACTGACCAATTCATTGGACATCACTTCAGTTTCATATTTATTAGATAAATACCTTGTAGAGATGCTAAATTAAAAAATATAAGAGATCAAGCCTGTATTCAAATGTTGAGTTGCTGGTTCCAGTACTATCTTGTGGAATCCTTTTTTCAGTTACTGATATCTGTGGTGAGATATAAAAATGACAATTTTCCATCTAACTGGGTTTTTTGTGATGAAATAAAAAAATATGTAATAAATTAGCTTTAGAGTTGCCAGAGACAGGCTTCCCTGTGTCTAGTCGTTATGCTAAGCTAACCGGCGGCTCGCTGTAGCATTGTGTTTTACATATTGAAAGAGTGGAATTGATCTCTGCCAGAAAGTAAATAATTTACCCAGAATATATTCCTAACCTGTGTTTGTATGGCTGCAGGACTCAGTGGATTATGCGGGTTTTTTCCATGCAGATCTTGAACTGTCGCATAAGTCGACGCCGCCGCTGCGGCTCGTGGAGGAGGAAGAGGATCTGCTGGAGCTGGAGAGAGGAAACCTGCTGCTGAAGAGGGAGAAGCTCGGCCTGGAGATCCAGATGCTCCGGCTGAAGATGGCCAGCATGAAACGCAGAGATGAACTTTAAAACTCAGGAAGCCAAAAACACCTGCAACAGAACAATGAACTCCTACTCTAACCCCATCACCACCTATAGAACCACTACAGTGCACTGTACCTCCTTACCTCACCTAGAAGAACTCTTCTCAGTTCGTGTTTTGACTGAATGAAGCTATCGAGTTGTCTGTCTTGTTGAAATATATTAAAACTGGCTTATTTGTTACGTACATTCTTTGACTGATTCTTCTATATTTGATTCTCAGCACAAACTAAGTGTGACCCGACAGGTTTGGGCGCTATGAAGTCGGTGCCTTCACTTGACTAGTACATACTCCATTACTCATTTGGTCCAAAATCCAGCAGCGGATGCTGCAGCATCTTCAGTGAAACTCTTCAGACGCCAGTGATGACTGAAACGTTTTATTTGATGTTATCCTGACCTGTGAGAGGCAGTCTACCGGAAATCCAAAGAGAAGTATCCTCCTCCTGTTCGTCACAGACTAGCTGTACGTTCCAATACCCTACTAACGTATTGAGTACGTGAGAGAAAGATTTAGCGTGTCCTCATAGTACGTCAGAAATACCAGGATGTTCTACAGCATCAGGGCGCAGCTTGCAGGATGTAAACTAGCATTCTGTTCTGGTTATGCTGACCCCCCCGTTTTCTTATTTGCTGACGTGTTTTGTAAAACGTTTTGAAAAATGGCTGTTCTAGTAATATTTTTCTGAAATATTGTGTCACGAAGTTTTTGTGAAAAGGAACAGTTTTACCAAAAACACAAAGGCCTCCAGGAACTGCGAGTTGTGAAATTATTTATCCGTCTACCGTTGGGTGAGATGGAGTCTGGCTGGTGATGGTAAAAGGGATCCGGGTAGAAGGCTTGGCAGAGGATTAGAACTGGCTGGAGCAGGTTCTAGTAGGCCGGAGTTTTAGAACTCTCACTTATACCTGAAACTACTCTGCGTGCATCAGTGGGCTGGGTTCACTTCCATCTCATTCATGGTTCTTTCTGCCCATAAAACAGTAGTCTGTCCTTGTGACAGAAGATAACATTGTGAAAAGCTTACACTTATTCATATCTCTGCTCAATGTGCCAGTTAGATGATATGAACATGGAGTCAAGGGAAGTCTCACAATGTTCTTTGCAAATGTGTCATCAGGAAAGAAGAGTTTGTTTGGCCTCAAGAAGAGCAGATTGAACGTATAACTACCTTTGAAACAGTTTCATGACAGCGGATAGTTCACAAAAATGCATTTCTCTAAATTAACATCTAGAAATGCTGATTTATATCTCTAGTCACTGAAAAACACCAAAGCAAACTATTGATTTAATGCCTGAAACAGTTAATAACTTGAGGTTTAAAATAAAAACTTGATCACGTGTTATTTTAAACATTGTTTTATGGTTTACATTCTTCCGATTTTTTTCCAATTACAGAAATAAAACAAACCGTAAATACAAAAAACTTTGTTAGTATCTCTCCCCTTACAATACAACAATAATCGGGGGGAAAAAGAACTGGGGGGGGATTTTACATGAACACACAACTAAACACGGTGAAATCATAAACTGCAGACCCTCATTTCTAAAGTGGGTTTGAAGACGTTTGTTCAAACGTCACGGCGTGAAACATAATTATTGATGCGTGAACAGATATATTCTCTGGCTAGAGGAGGTCAACGCCAGGGCGGGGTTGATGGTTTGACGGGGTTCAGGTGTGACAGAGAGAAACGCACACCGGAGTCTTCTCAGCCAGAAACAAACATCTCAGACTCGGGGAGAGAAGCCGGGCAGCAGAGAAACATCGTCGGCACATTCTGCTCTTCTTACTTCTTGCCCGATTTCTTGATGCCACTGCTCCCTGGAGAGAGAAAACACAAACGTTTATAACTGAAACGCAGACTATGAATTAATATGAATAATTACATATTAGAGGTTTAATTGGTCAGCCAAGTAGCAACACCACGTAAAGGTACAAAGTAAAAGTTATGCATTCAAAGTTTTACTTTAGTAAAAGTACTAGTATTAAAATATATGTTAGAGTACAGTACCAACAGTAAAAGTACTCATTATGCAGAAAAATATGTATTTTAGGATTATAAATATTGATGCATTAATGTTGCAGCTGGAGGAGTTAATTTTAACAAAAAAAAAATTATATACATATACATATACGCTGCTGTGTTGCTTAATCTATAATAACACATGATTAATATGTTAATTGTATTTGTATTTTGTATTAATAATCTTTATCTGTAAAGTAACTAATGCTGTCGAACATATGTAGTGGAGTAGAAGTATAGGCTGTAAAGTAGCATAAGATAGAAATACTCCATTAAAGTACTTTCCACCAGTACCGAAGCCAAAGGTATCTACAGCAGTACTACCGTTAACCGCTGTCATAGAGCAGTTTAACTCTTGTGCGTATTGAGTCACAGTCTGTTGCACCGTGACGTGTTCTTTGGTCTCACCTAGAGGTCCTTTCCCTGAAGCTTTGGTCTTCAGTGCGTCCATCGCCTTCTGGTCGTCCTTTTGCTTCTGCTTGAAGGCGACGTCATCCTGCAGACACACAGTCGGTCACAATCCTTTGACTGAACTCTCGCCACGATAACACTTCCTGTTTATGTTGCTCTTTAGTTTGGGATGCAACTAACATTTAGTTATGAAAGGATTAAAAACAACAAAAAGCTCCAAAGAAGAATCCCATGTTTACAGAGTCGAAAAAACAAAAAGCAACGTTGCTTCATTTTCAAACAGATACTCGGCTAACATTGGAAGGTCTGTCTGTCTGTCTCTCCCCCTCCCCCCCTCCCTCTCTCTCTCCCCCCTCTCTCTCCATGTTGGTGTCTCTCTCTGTGCGTGTCTGTGTCTCCTCTGAAATCACCATCAATAATGATTTCTCGTTTAGTCGTGGACTAAACAATTAGAAATCATAAACGTATTTAGCTTTTACAAGAAATTTGCCTTGACGTTGTGGTGCATAATGGTCAATATACAAAGTAAAATAGAGAGAGAGAGAGAGAGAGAGAGAGAGAGAGAGAGATATATATATATCATTTGTAAAACAAATATATGAAAAATGAAAACAGCTGTGCAGACTTTAAAATGAAGATTAAGGAATACAAACACTGACTTTGGGACATGCAGATGGTCATTGCTTAAAGAATACATTCAATGTGTAACGTAAACACAATAAATAGTGTTTTAACTAGCTGATAATTAATAATGGTAGAGTCCGAGAGGACACTTACTTCATCCATTTCCTTGGACTGTTTCTTGGGCGCCTTCAGCGGTTTCTTTTTGCCTCCTTTGGACAAAAAGAGAATAAATTGTACATCAGCTCAAATAGAAATATAGACATGAACGCGTCTTTGTTTGCTCCTTTGATAAATCTGACAACAGCGTACTTATACTTGGAGAAGATCTACTTTAAGTAAAATGAAACCGCTGCACACAGAAGCCTAATATACCGCATTAGAATAAACGTCAGCTAAATAAATATTATTAAGCCGAATGTCGCAGACGATCGCAATGACTCGTATGATCTAGAAACACTGTCTTCTTTATGCGTGTATTTCACAAAAACAACTAGATGTGTCATATTTTGAGTGTAGTTTGGTGAAAGATCGTCACGTTTCAGCACGCTTTAGCTCGCGATAGCTAATCCCCCCGTTAACACACGCTGCGGTGCGTTTAGTGACGTTTAGTCATAGATATTTAAAGATGATAACTGAGATAAAAACGACGTCTCACCTTCTCTGCTCGACATCTTTCTAACTGGTCTCACTGGTTTGAAGGAAAGAAATAAAGTGGTTGGTTTTTTTTTTGCTGTATTTCTAATCCGCGCTGTCAGGACCCCAATGAACTCTCAACCGGAAGTAGTACGACCGTTATGTGCCTGAACGAAAACTTAGCTGTAGCTGTTTCATTTGACATCAGGATGCTAACTAGTTAGCCTAGAAAAACTGCGTCCATGTAACATGTATGCGCCGACAACATTGAGGAAATCAGGTATATTTATTTCTCTAACTTATGTGAATTAAAGTTATCTTTTTATAACTAAAAACATCTGTTTACCGGTAAATGTTAGCATCGTGTTAGTGATGAAGCAGGGAAGTGAACAGAACAGTCAGATAACCTTGAAGTAAAATGTATTTGTAATGTTAAATTATACTTATTACTATTATTATATTGATAATAACCCCTGTAAACTTCATCCTCCTCCAGTCTGTCTGAGTATTACTTTGTTGTGTCGGTATTAGAAGTGTTGTTTGTTAACTACAGAGGAGGAGGAAGTAGTCAGACCCACATTGTGAATATATTCTGTAAGTGAAAGTATTTAAAATGTTACATAAGTAAAAGTATAATCAGCAGTATTTTGCTTTTATAATTGGTTGACGTGGAGCTCTTTTGGAACTCTTAAGTAATGATTATTTTCATTTGGGATTCATCTGCTGATTGATTTCCATCACAATTACCCAGAATCCTCCACAATGTTTGTTTTGTCAAACCAACAGTCCAAAAAATACATTAAAATGATTTCAGTTAAAGCAAAGACAAGGAATTCTTCACATTTGAGAAGCTGGAAACATGAAAAAATTAAATATTTGTCTTGTAAAATGACTACACGATTGCTAAAATAGATAGCTGTACTTGTATACTTTTAGATGAAGAAAGTACAATATTTGTGGAGTAGCTGTAGAAAGTGTACTTAAGTACACTACTTGAGTAAATCTAAGAGTCACTTTCCACTAAAGATTGATTGTAATGGATCGGTAGGTGTCATTAGCCTTAATATCTAAATAATATTCAAACCAGCTGGATTTCTGAGATTGTATCTGAAATAAGAGAAGCTGGATCCGGATAAGGACTCGGACCCCTTCGTCACACAGACACCACGTCTCTGGCTGATGTGAACATTCACATCATGAAGGTTCATCAATCGTCTCATTTAAATGTTTGAACTGTGTTTTCCTCACAGACGTCCGTTCCAGCGTTGAATGTGCTGCTGCAGTGAAAGTGAAGCTTTGACAGTTCAAGTTGCTCTTCTGACTGCTTCCATCCTCAATGAGGTATTTATGCTCAATGACACTCGGGAGAAAGCCCCACCCCACCAACCCTTATGTGTCTCATTAAATCAGTCACACATACAGTAACTCCCCTCTGTGGACATGTTGTTACGGTGTTTGTATGACCAAAACACGGCCGTAACTTGTTGTCATCAGCTGCTATTACTTAATAACAGCTGACCTGACTGGAGCAAACCCCATTCAGTTTTCCAACATGTTGTACTGGAACGTTAACTCCGAAGTTAATGGAAAGCAGCATTTGATCGACTGGTTTTAAATTAAAGAACAGAAGCTGATGATTGACAGTCGGAAGAAGTTCTGAGTCGACTTAAACTTTGTTTATACTGGTTGATGCTCTACTCGCTGCTCGTTGCATTATAACGCTAGAGGGCGTACAAACAAAATGAACTGTGAAGAATGAAAAAGACAACGAATGTAACTCATAGATATGAACATAGACTGAAGGTGTAACCGGCAAAACACCATAAACCTCCACAATGACGAAGAGGGATTGTAATTATCTGTAAATTATCTGAGTTTCTCCACAAAGAATCTCACAAAAGAACCACTTTAAGTCTTGTGTTTACCAGAAATGTGTTCACAGGTTTGTTGGAAATAAGAAAGAGGCTAGTTGACTGAGAGGAGGCGGACCTAACCACCGTATCTTTACAGGTACAGAGGAGCTCAGATTGTCGTCCGTGCTCGTGACTACTGCCGTCTGTCCCACCTCCCTCTTCATGGATCTCAGCCCGGCAGAGTCGCTCTGGTCCGGACCTACAGCGCTCAACCTCCGCCCGGGCCCCCTCCGCCCACTGACCCCACCCCTCCTGATGGGAAGGGCGGAGCCGAGGTGGTGAAGGAGCGCGCTCTGGCTGCATTACAGGTACAACAAACAACAACCGCCGACGCATTAGAGCTGCAAACGATTTAGTAATAAACACATTTATCATCTGATGCTGCGAAGCTGAAATTAAAAACACGGCCCTGTTTCTCTCCCTCCTCCAGCATGCGGGTGAGTTAGGGCGGCAGTGGGGTCAGAGGTCGGCTCAGGCGGCCACCAACTCGGCCAACTACTGGTGGGGGAGGTACGAGGAGTTTGTCGGCCTCAACGAGGTCCGCGTGGCCCAGACCAAAGTCACCGAGGTCAGTGAGAAGCAGGAAACCTCGTGTGTGTGAGTGCGTGTATGTATGTGTGTGTATGCGTGTGTGTGTGTGTCTGTGTTTGTGTGTGTCTGTGTGTTTATAGTCCGTGAAAATGATCTGCAGACTCTTGAGTTCTCCGTAGAGTCTCAGACGTGTGTGTTGATGTGTTTGTGTGTTTGTTCCAGGCCGAGGCGGCGTTCATGGTGGCCAGAGGGATGGTGCGCGAGGCTCACGGCAGCCTGGAGGTCCTGCAAGTCCGGCTGAAGGAGGTCAGAGACCGGCTGGACCGGGTCTCCAGGGAGGAGGCTCACTACCTGGAGCTGGCCACGCAGGAGCACAAACTGCTGCAGGTAAGCTCAGTTAAAAATGGAAACAATAAAAGTAAACCACTGAGGGCGATCTCACACCTGCAGTCTGATTCATTTGGATGAAAATGAGACAAAAAGACCTGAGTTTGTTCTAAGCAAACCAGAAAAGTTAGGTGTGAAAGCAGCTAAAGTACATTACAGTGATATTATTGGTGATTACTCCAGTCAGAGAGATCTGTTAGATAACGTGCCTGTTCATGTAATAAAGGATCGGTTGAACTTATAATGAACCTCCCCCTCATCCTTCCCTTCTATCTACAGGAGGAGCGTCGTCTCCGGACAGCGTACGAGAACTCCGAGGGTTCGGAGAGGGAGAAGTTCAACCTGTTCTCGGCAGGCGTCCGGGAGAGCCACGAGAAGGAGAGGACGAGGGCCGAGCGCACCAAGAACTGGTCCGTCATCGGCTCGGTGCTCGGGGCCCTGATCGGGGTCATGGGGTCCACGTACATCAACCGCGTCCGCCTGCAGGTGAGGGACACCACTGACTGTAACGTTTTCAACTACAACACTGAGACAAAATGTCTTGTTTGATACACTCAGAGGCCACGTTGGGCTCTGGGATTTTTTACGATTTATTGACCTTTTAACAGGATTTCTTTTATTTTTTATTATGTTTTTGGGACGTCTGTCCGTCCGTATTTACGCCCCATCCTCGTGAATGCGATATCTCGGCAACATCTGGAGGGAATTTCTTCAAATTTGGCACAAACATCCACTTGGACTTGAGGATAAACGTATGATGAACAAAACACTATTTTGGGTCATAACTAGGCGGCAACCTCCGGTTCTGCCTAGTGAAAGTGTCTTAAAACTTGCATTCTCTCTACTGACCAGCAGGGGGCGACACCTGCTAGTTGTATAGAAGTCCTATTCTATGGAAGTCTATGAGAAAATTACTCTACTTCTTTTGGGTGTAAACTGCAACTTGACTGGTTTGTGGAGGTACACAACCGCTTTCTCATAGTCGTTTATAGATAGTTTATCTGTATCTACCCTCGTCTCTCTCATCTGTAGGAGCTGAAAAGTCTCCTGCTGGAGGCTCAGAAGGGTCCAGAGAGCCTGCAGGAAGCCCTGAGAGTCCAGGCCGGAAACCATCGCTCCCAGCAGGACGCGCTCCGGACGCTCATCGGCAGCCTCAGGGCCGCGCTGAACGACGCCTTCGCGCAGAGGGACGACGTCGTCCTTCAGGACAAGAGGGCTCCCGCGCCGGACTCGCCCACGGTGCCTCTCTCGGCCCTGAAGAAAGACCTCCAGATCGGCAGCCAAAAGACGGAGTCCATTCTGGAGTCCCTCCGGCCGCAACTGGGACAGCTGGAGCAAGGACTCGGTAGAGTCGAGGGGGAGTTGACGGCGGTGAGGAGGCTGCTGGAGACCAGAGAGCAGGTCGACACGCAGGCTGCTCAGCTGCAGTTAGTGGCACCAGTGAGTCCAGAACCACCAGTTAGACCAGAGAGAGAGGACCAGTGGGAGTCGGAGGCGGCGGTGAGGCGTCTGGAGGAGACTCAGAGGACTCTGGGAGAACGGATCAGGACAAACACTCTTTATAACGCCATGTTCACCTACACCGCCACCGCCATCACCATCTCTGCCATCTACCTGCTGACCAAAGGAACCGGTTAGACTCTATAATACGTTCTCATGCACTGGGGAGAGATCATCTGAATGAATTACGTCAGAATACAACATTCCCTTGTTGGCAAGTAACTCATCTTCTGTAATAAACTTCTACCGCTGCTGTTCACTGCACGACTGATATTTGTAATTCTGTGATCTCGAGATAAAACATGAACTAGAATGCGTCCTATTGCTATCACGTAGCAAGTCTTGGTATCATTCGTTGTGCATCATTTGAACATGATTTTTATTGAATTCATTTCCCAATTTAAACACTGAAGTGCAGAATAGAAACACCGTGTTATGTAACTGTAGGCGGCACCTATTAAATACTTTACTTTCTAAAATGTCATCACGGTTTCCCGGAGACCAACGTCACCTCTTTAAACTTCTTGTTTTAATCGTCGGGTTAACCACCAAAAACGAGCCCTGGACCCCGTTGACTCCCATGTTTGTGGTGATTTGGTAAGAGACTTCCTTTATTTAGGAATTTGCAGCTTGTAAAATCTGACGCAGGACCAAGATCATTGTGACTCAGTGGTTTATTCTTTCAAAGAGAACAAAAATAATTCAAGTCATGATATAAAACAAGAGAGAACCAGCAAATCGTCACAGTTGACCAGCTGGAACCAGACGTGTTTTAGCCTTTTATTTTCTGGATAAATGACATGAATTGATATACAATTTGTTTTTTTTTTGATGACTTTTGTTTCATCGCTGAAAATAATTTTTTATTTCTCACACTGCTGATTCTGGAGAGCATTGAGGCTCGTCACTGAATAAGAATATCAGATAAATACCTAAAGGTACAGAGCGTTCATTTGTAGAAGAATGAATAAATGTCACAGTTATGATGATGACATAATGGTGAAGTTTGTTCCTGTGAGTTTTTAACCTGATTCAGCCTCTTCATCAGTAGTTGACCAGCTGATGATGACGAGGGACCACATCTGTTCAGGGTCTCACATCTGGAGTTCTGCCTCGAGGTTGAAACAGGTGTTCATACTGTTTGAACACGTATGGGAGCAATAATGAGAGTAAATGAACTGTGACTGAAAGAAAACGTCATGTGATAAATGACCAATTTAAAAAGTCCATTCACAATAAATAAATATATAAGTAACTACATGTGAAAATGTGAATGACAGTTTGTAAACTGCAGTACTTGAATGTCTGTTTGTTTGTCATGTTGTTGACTGAGTTGGATGATGATCGCGATTAAACTGTTTGTTCTGCTCAGCTTTATTGTTTACTGACCAAATTATGAATAGATTCATCAAACCATTGAACCGTTGTGTTGAGGCATAAACTGTTATTATTAATCTTTAATCAGTGATGGCGTTGAGAAGGATTGTGTGTTACACCAGCAGCCAGCAGCAGCACAACATGTGACAATATATATGAATTTATTAACAATAGTGCAGGTGAAGTGAGTTATTAGTAGTGTTTAGTAGTAAAGTACTACTATACTGTACACCAGAATAGTATATATTATGATGAAGTAATGATACTTTGTATTACTATAGAAATATAATGTAGTGTATAATTTAAATGCAACAGTAAAAGACAGTATTTAAATGATTTTAAGTCTTTTAATTAAATCATGAAAATAACTTGTCGGTTTCATCAACAATAATAAAGTGTGTTGATGGATTGATGACTGAACGGCTCTGGAGTTGTTGGAAACCTGTGATTTCTAATTCTAAACATGTTATAATACAAATACTGGTCTTTATCTGACACGCTGCACAAATACCTTCAAACAGAACGTGGACTCCAATGTTTGACTGAGGACAAATAAAATATATCTTAAATATACATCTATATATATCTGCATCTTCAGAATTTTGTATAAATCATCCAGTAAGTGTGTTGTTATTAGTTTGACAATAATTAGGGCTCGAGCACCGACGTCGGGCCGCGAGGTCCCTATTGAAACTGTAGGAATTATTATTATTATTATTATTATTATTATTATTTTTCTCTCGAATGAAGCTTTATCATGTCTCCAACATCCCCATATTTGGCAAGCATATCAGGATTGCGGGAAAATTTGATATTTTATGGGTCCCATGCTCGAGCATGACAAAATTGCTCGCGAGCGCCCCCTAGAAGTTGGAAATGCAAGCCCCGACAGCCCGTATGTCCAAATGACTTAAAATTTTACGTACATGAGCAACTGAATGAGTTCTACAAAAAAATCCTCTTGGGATTCTAAGCTCCGCCTACCAAAATATTCCGCCATTTTGAATTTTGTAAAAAAAAAAATAATTCACTTCTCCTAGACCCTGGGTCTGATTGGTACCAAATTTTATGTGAATCATTATTGAATCTATATCATCAAATATTATGAAAATCTTGTTGATATCTTATTGCATTAAGAATATATGGACCAATGAATTTCATAGGGGCGTGGCCTTCTACAGCAATATATATAACTTCAAAACCATGTGGCCTATCCTCACGAAATCTGTCGCATATGTTCACATTGTGTCCTGTAACATTCACTCAAATTTTCATTCCATACAACCACTAGGGGGCGATGCAGTAATACTCCCATTTCTTTGCATTTTTAGGCACTTTTCATCGTTTTCAGGCATTGTACTTTAACAAACTCCTCCCACAGAATTTATACGATCAACTTCAAATTTGGTCAAGATGATCTAAAGACATTAATGATGAAAAGTTACTAAAATGGTCTACTGACATTGAACGACCTTCGTTTTATGTGGCGCCCATGACACGCACATTTCGTGCTGTTCGCCATGAAAGAGGAAGTTGTTGTAACTCCAAGGTACTTCATTCAATCTGCCCCAAACTTGTTACGCATGATGCTGGTCCAGGCCTGAGCACATTTCCATGGCAACATTTTCACAAAGTCTTAGCGCCACCTACTGGCAAAAGGAAATGACAAGCTTTATACTTTGATGTACTCCGACTAGGAAGTTGCCCAGATCAGTCTCAAATTTGGTAAGCTAAGCCGTAAGACATTGATAATGCTTCATCATGAATATTGTGAGTTGTCGTTAAACGCTGTTGCCGTGGCAATGTGTCATTCGCCATGAAAAATGAAGCTTATTTTTTCTGTGACTTAGGATGCTCAACAAGCCTTGGAACTTTGCACAGGTGTCATAGGTGATGGAAATAAATATTTCATATGGCTTTTTGGCTTGACCCTTTCAAATTGCCTCGATAGCGCCCTCTACAAATATTCAAAATCGCAGCCCCAGCACTACGTTTGACCTACATGTATGAAATTTGGTAGGCACATGTATCACATGAAGACTTAAAAAAAAGTGTCTTGGGACCATGCTCTAAAATTAACGGGAAGTCGGCCATTTTGATTTTTGTGTGAATTTTCCCATGACTTCTAGTCGCTATACTTTAACGAACTCCTCCTAGGGACGTTGTCAGATCCTTTTCAAATTTGGTCAGTATAATCTAAAGACCTTTGCAATTAAAAGTTACTCAAAGCTTTACGTTTGATGGAATGGCGTAGCCGTGGCGTGGCGGCCATTTTACGTAATTCGCCGTTAAACAACAACCCGGATGTAACTCCACAAAACGCAGCCCCGGCACTACGTTTGACCTACATGTATGAAATTTGGTAGGAACATGTACCACATGAAGACTTAAAAAAAAGTGTAAAGACCTTTGCAATTAAAAGTTACTCAAAGCTTTACGTTTGATAGAATGGGGTAGCCGTGACGTGGCGGCCATTGTAGGTGATTCGCTATTAAACAACAAGCTGATGTAACTCCACTGGACTTGCTCAAATATGTCCCAAACATGCCATATTTGATAACAGTCATGGCCTGAGGATGTCTACAAGCCAATTTTCACTCAAAGTCATAGCGCCACCTACTGGCAACAGGGAGACAGCGTTATGTGACAAACTGAATCCGATTTATATGACATTTACATGATGTGGTCTATACTTGATGTAGAGCAACACAATGCATGTTTGCATGTGTTCTCTAGCGTCACAAAGTGGATACAGGAACTGGTGGAATATTTGCACGACATAATTTCCAGCGTCACACAGTCCAAGCATTAAAAATATGTCTAACTTGTGGGCACGCTGTCTGATGGTCGCAGATATTTATGGCCGCTTCTGCCGTCGTCCCGCCAGTACCCCCGAGACGCGGGAAGGTGCGAGGGCCCATTCATCGCTGCTCGCAGCTTTAATTAGAATTAAATTTGACTACTTCAGAGCGGACAAATCCCAGCGAACCCTCTGTGATCTTTGGCGGACCCCTAAGAGGACCCGGACCCCAGGTTGGGAACCACTGACCTGATTCTCTTTGGTGTTTCTCTCTGAGTGTAAATCCACTACAGCAGGTGGTGGGTCTTTACTTAGCACTATGACGAAGTGACGGCCGGGGAACCACACACACACGCACACACACGCACACACACGCACACACACGCATACACACACACACACACACACACATACATGCACACACACACACACACAATGTGCAGGGGAAGAAACAAAGAAAGTGTTGGATGGTGAATAGACTTGTATTAATGGAGACCTTTAGTCTCAAAGCGACACGGCTTTAGGGAGTCATGAGGGGATCAAACTGTTGATCTTCTGATGAGAGGACAGCCAAGTCTATCTGTGAGGCTGAAAGAAAGACAGACAGACAGACAGACAGGAAGTGAACAGACAGACAGACAGACAGACAGGAAGGAAGGAAGGAAGAAAGAAGGACAGACAGACAGACAGAAAGTGAACAGATAGACAGACAGACAGACAGACAGGAAGGAAAGAAGGAAGAAAGAAGGACAGACAAGAAGGAAGACAGACAGACAGAAAGTGAACAGACAGACAGACAGGAAGGAAGGAAGGAAGGAAGAAAGAAGGACAGACAGACAGACAGGAAGGAAAGAAGAAAGAAGGACAGACAAGAAGGAAGACAGACAGAGAGACAGACAGACAGGATGGAATAAAAGAATAAGGAAAGACAGACAGACAGACAGAAAGAAAAACAGACAGACAGACAGTCAGGATAGAAGGAAAGAAGAAAGAAAGACAGACGGACAGACGGACTACAGTATATTTGGACAGACAATGACACGTAACGCTGAACAGAACACATGAGACTCAATTAAAGATCAGGTGGAGCTCATTCTGTCAGTCTGCAGTGTTTAAAGGGAAACTCCACACATTACACTTCAGAGACTGTTTACAGGTCTGTAGGAGTACTTCATGTTTATGTTTAAAAAGTAATACATGGTACCAACATTCATGCAAGAAAATAACGTTTAAAACAAAGATCTGTACTGTTTTCTTTAGTGGAGCCACCAAAATTGTCTGTCTCTCTCTCTCTCTGTCTGTCTGTCTGTCTCTCTCTCTCTCTGTCCGTCTCTCTCTCTCTCTGTCTGTCTCTCTCTCTCTGTCTGTCTCTCTCTGTCTGTCTGTCTCTCTCTCTCTCTGTCTGTCTCTCTCTGTCTGTCTGTCTCTCTCTGTCTGTGTATCTCTCTCTCTCTGTCCGTCTCTCTCTCTCTGTCTGTCTCTCTCTCTGTCTGTCTGTCTCTCTCTCTCTCTCTCTGTCTGTCTGTCTCTCTCTCTCTCTGTCTGTCTGTCTGTCTGTCTGTCTGTCTGTCTCTCTCTCTCTGTCCGTCTCTCTCTCTCTCTGTCTGTCTCTCTCTCTCTGTCTGTCTCTCTCTCTGTCTGTCTGTATCTCTCTCTCTCTGTCTGTCTCTCTCTCTCTCTGTCTGTCTCTCTCTTTGTCTGTTTCTCTGTCTGTCTGTCTCTCATTCTCCGCAATCTCTCTCTCTCTCTCAGACACACGCCTGTCATTTAATAACCTGTGTATGTGTGTCAAACATTATGATTCTGTCTCCTCTCCCCCTCTCTCACCCACCCAGTCCCACCCTTTCAAAATAAAAACCCCTTGGAGTAACCATATCTTAACATTAAACTCAGAATTTGCCGAGTTGTTTTTGTATTTTTTTTCTATTCAAATGTGTACACTGCACTCTGGTCCTGCCTTGTATGAATTTGTGGTTACTTGTAAGCCCAAGTGGTTACTTGTCAGTGGGTTGGGTGTAGTTATGCATGATACATTGATAATACATGATTCATTTCCTGTTGCAATGGTAATTAAACAACGCAATACAACCATTGTATTCTCTACATGTCTCTCACAGTGAAACACACAGAGCATGTGGTGTACCTTGAAAATACATACTTAGTTACTTGCTTACGCTCCTTGTTGATAAGTGAAAGTTCTGTTCGACCAAATCAACATTTGGAAATCACTGATCTTTCAGAAGATCATGGTATTGAACTACTGAATTTAGTTTTTATATTGTCTCATATATTGACCACATCAGCATAATGTCTTCATCAGCATAATAGAGTTTAATCATCTTTTAATAAGATCGTAGATGTTTAAATTTGGTGATTCTGAGCGCTTTTGGGACTTCTTGATTATTTCGGCTTAAAAGCACAAACAGACAAAACACCATGTGTACATGTTAGTGAAAGGTGTGGCAACATAATCCT